ACGTGTCCATGTAAATGGTGCAAAATCAGATTGGGTTGATGTCACATCTGGTGTTCCCCAAGACACGGTGCTTGGTCCCTTTCTGTTCATCGTTTATTTAAATGACATTGCTTGCAACCAGAATTCCAAGATAAAGCTGTTTACTGATGATGCTGTAATGTATCGTGATGTTCTGAGCTCCCAGGATGAAGTCATCTTTCAAATGAAACTGACCCTATCACTGACATTGGATAGATGCAATGTTATGTCTATAACTAGATCTAAATCAGAACCGACCTTTAGGTATAAGATGTCACTGAGAAAAAAAAAACATCTCCCGACGTTTCAAAATGCAATCATCCACGCTGCCTTACCTGTCCATTTTTAAAACAAGGCCAAGCCAACTACACCTTCACCTCCACCAAAGAGAAACGACCTATACATGACCCCTTAAACTGTAAATCCAAAAACCTTATCTATCTCAATGAATGCAAAACAGTACATTGGGGAGACCAAGCGCCATCGCCACCAACTCTTTGGGGAGCATCGCCTCTCCATTCTCAACTATGGCCACTTTCTCAACCCTACTCCTATCTCCGAACATTTAAAGAAGCCGATCACTCTATCAACGACGTCCTTCTTATTCCCGTAGAACTAATCCGTAGCAACCGTGACTCTGTCAGAAAGGCACGCGAGGCACACCTTATTGACAAAGCTATGACTTTAGAACCTCATGGTATAAATATAGACGTGATGAACTCAGTTAGTGACATTTATCTTTTTAGTAGCCTATGATTTTCTGTTTGCTATGTATTCAAATCTCGCATACGCGACGTTCATCTTGTATCTGTATTCATTTTTCTTTTATAGCCCCTGTTGAAGGTTTGTGTTGCAGTGGTGTGCAAACAGATACAACGACTCCCAACAATGTTGGGACCTGCAGTGCATCGTGGGAAGGATACAACCCATAAGTCTTTGTAAACCATGCGTAACGAGCGTGCGTGGCACCAACAGTGTTGGAAGAGCTGTGCAAACGGATCCAACATTGTTGCGCTACGCTTCGGCGATCACGGAACAAAAGACATGTCGGGAGTTGTTGGCTGAAAAGTTTGATCGGTTTTAAACTTTGCGCAACAACACGCAACAACATCCAACAACATGCAACAGGGTGTGCAAACGGACGCAACATGTAACATCCAACAATGTTGGGAGTTGCTGGCCAACAAAGTTGCGTCCGTTTGCATGGGGCTTTAAACTTCGTGTACATTTACTCCAAACGTAGAAATTTAGGTATGTTGATCCTCTATTAGAAATGCCAATTTATTTATCCAAACAAAGTAAATTCTGCACCAATTCGTCAACTTCGGATCCTTCGTTTTCGACTTCGATTCAACAACCGGGGCCGGATCTCTAGATTTGCACCCAGCCCGACCTCACTCTCTACCAGTTTGCCTGCCGTATCAGTCCCGTGACTCCCGTCTCTCTGACGAGTAGTGCTCGCTCTGTACGTTAAGGACGAACTAAATTGTAACGCAGGCCACTTTCAGTAAAAGGATGCACTTTTCTTTTAGAAACTTTTTGTCGGGATTCTAAAAATGCATTTGCCTGTATACTGCCTATGGCTGACGCAGTATCCTTTCCAAAATGATGGCCGTCGTCAAAACCAGTGACCATTTTTGTATGAAACAACAAATCAATAAAAAGATACGGATGAATATACAGTATGTACATACCATGGAGAGGCTTTAAACCATAAGTACATTAAAGGCGAGTTCCGTAGGTTCCATAGGTTCCATGGGTTCCGCGAATCACTGGATATGCCACCGCGATTCTTTTGTAGAATTTATTTGTTACTAGCATGCAACGAAATAGCCTGCGAATACAGTCGTTTCTCCGTGCTCCTTGCCGCCAGGGACGTTTTGCCAACTTCCTTAGCGGCGAGGAGCAAGAAGAAACGGCTGTGTTTGCAGGCTATTTAACAACAAAAGTATATCGCATCATCTAGGCTACTCATATAGATAGCCTAATTTGTCGCTAGAATTGCCTAGCTATTTTCGAGTTTTCATCATTATGACCTATTTTTAAATAGGTAAAAGTAAATTATGCACATTTTAGACTCTATGTATCCCTGTCTGAACAGTAGTAGACCATGTCACGATTTCTTAAAACTTTTTACTTGCATGGACCAGTTTTTGTTTGTGAAAATCCACCGAGATAGAAAGAGCGAAGCCCTGGTAGGCTTTGATAGATTGTGCTCGAAAAAGGAGCATAATATGCTACTAGCAGTGCTCGTATATTTCTAAAATTATGCCAATAATTACGCTAGTTTTTGTAAATTATGCTCAGAAGCAAAAATATGTAGAAATTTAATATGCTTCTACTTTTTACTTCAAATTTGGTAACAATACCTCAATAACTATGCAACAAACATGTAAATGGCACATTTACCTATTTACATCTAGAAACTTTAAGAGTGCATAATTCATCCTCTGAAAACTATAAAAATTCAAACAATCAAACCAGCACACGGTCCATATGCGCCATCTTGGTTAACCGAGGTAGTGAGATATGCGCATGCGTTGAGTCCTGTGGAAAAGTCCCAGGTAAAGTCCGAGGTCACTTCCTGACCCATGTCCCATGAATGCGACAATAAGCAGACAAAAAATTCGTTTTGTTGCTTAAAATTTGCCCTTAACAGCTTATCTCGGGTCAACAAAAAAATTGGTTGCATGATCATAAATGACAATGCCAAAAATTATGCTAGCACAATTCTCCTTTTGCACAACTCCCATAATGCACCTAAAGTTTTGCATGGCCTTTGTTTTTCATTTCTCCTGGGTATTGCAGTTGTCCCAGGAGAAATTGTAGCGTGCGTAGCAGGCGCTTGGAAGTAGTGGGCGCAAAGGATAATGGGCGCGCGCGAGGGAGACTCGCGTGTCGTTTTCTCGCGCGCCCGTTTTTTCTTGTGCCCACTACCTCCAAGCAGGCTAGAGAAATTGTAGACAAATTTTTGGGGACAAACAAGGTGAATTATGGGAGAAGTGGAAATAGCGAATTGTGCTAGCATAATTTTTGGCATAATTCGTCATTATGAGCATAATTTACAAAAGCCTAAGCCCTGGGGATTTTTAATCACCTCCTCTTGGAATCCAGAGTAACCATCCTGGGTGTTTAAAACATTGTTGTCGATGAAACCCAATGGATTTTCGCTTGTCAAAATTTGAGGAAATTCGTGGAAGACGTGGAAGTATGAATAAGTAAATAAATAAATAAATAAATAAACAAACTAATTAAATTAATTCATTTTACAGTTAACTTCGCAAATGTCACACTTGTCTCGTTTTGTAATAGGTACAGACATTTCGCCTTTAATTCTGCCTTAAGTACAGTAAAAAAAATCAAAACCTAGGTAAGACCAGCCAGATCAAATTTACTGGAGGGGCTAAAAATATACGCAAAAGGTGAAAAAAAATCTGATACCAAGTTATGTAAGCCTATCAAATAGTATTGTGGAAATAAACAAATATTTTTAGGTTGAGCACATTTTAGAAATGGTAAAAATTTCCCAGTTAAGGTCAAGAGACTATGGTGTGCCTGTGTGCGCAATCTCACAGGCGCCATTTACATATATCCGGGGTTTTCCGAGAATCATTGTCACTGCGATGCCTGAAACATGGCGGTCGAAGGTGAGAATGTGATCGAATCGTCGCATTTTCACATGAAGTAAAAAACCCAATATGCCAAGAAGAGAATTTAAAGTACTTGTAAATAACAGTGGAAATTTGTAGATAATGTCTGTTCATCAACAACATAAGTCAGTGGTAAATGCCGGCGCGGTTTTTCCGAACGAAAGGTCGCCATCGATCTCCGATTCGTCAGACGAGGAAGACGATGATCTCGACGATGAAAGTACAGAGCACTCAGCGGTAAGGATCAGTTACTTTCTTTTGAAATTTTTAGTAGAATATCTTGTTGTTCCTTTTTTCAGTAGAACGGTTTATATGAGAATTTTCTCCGTTTGAACGGTGGAAAAGTGTTTCTTGGTATGTTAATTATTCTATCTCAATGATTAATATTAAAGCTATGGAAGCTAGCTCTTCGACTTTATGATGGGAGATATTTGTTTAGATGAAAGGGCTAGTGCTTTTGAATACATTTTCGTAGCCCTGGTCTCCCGATAGTTCTCTGAAATGTTATTCTCTTATCTAAGGTAGAGTTTCGACGTATTATAATTTTCAGAAGAGACAAATGGTGATCTTAAAGCAGTCTTGTCCTTTTGTCGTAAATATTCGAAACAGAGTTTGTTCGCTGTGTATTTACCATGATTGACGGGTACATTGTTCGCTTTTTCGAGGAACTAAACAAATTTTGATAAGAATTGGTAAAGGAAAACGGTTACAAACGTTCTCTTTTATGCATAGATTCCACTCCATAACGATCTGAAACTACAAATGTGTCATACAAGTTTGTGCGATATCTTTCTGGCGAGTCCCGATTTCTAGTGACGTGAGAAGAGACTTAGCAAGCGAAATCAATTTTATTTTTCAAGCTGATATTTCATTGCCGGCTAGACAATCCATGGCGACTCTTTTGGAAACACATTATAAGATTTTCCTTTATGATGCGATGCTCAAAATATCTTTAAGTGTCGCTACGATGGCTTAGAACGAAGCCCAAAACACGTGTCGGAGGAGTGGTCCAAATCAGAATCCTAGAAGTTCAATCATTATTCAGTAAAATTATGTGGCATTCCGCTTTTTTACTAGTGTACTTTAAAACAGATTCAGCCGTTTAGCTCAATACTAAAACGCCATCAATTTGTAAAGATGTAAATTGTTTATTCCTTGACGTACAAGAATTTCATGACCCACTGAGGAACTGAGCGTGCATGAAATTGTATACGAAAGACTTCAGCTACTATGAGTTGGTGAGTATCCGGAAAAAAACAAAAACAAACTGTACGAAAAGTAAATTCTTATCTTAAGAAAATTACTTTATAAGGAGAATACACTTCCATACTTTTATCAAAGTGTTTGGCCATGTCAGAAGATGTTTGGCTATTGTTTTTTTTGTCCCAAGGGAAGAAGTGGAATTACATAATCACGTTACACCATTGTTATTGCTTGTTTGGTTGGATGTATTTTTAATTTACTGTACGTCAAGTATCTGTTACAATACTCCATAATTTCTTGTCCATAGTGTAAGAACCAAGATATCAGTTCATTTTCTTAGTGGAAAATGGTTTGTTGATATGTTTGTTGGTTTGTTGATATGTTTCCATGATGGTGTTAGAAATTCACTTCTCAAAAGCATTATGATATCTGCTTTAAATCTGCTTTCAAGTGTAAAGGGGTTACTTTAGGTGACAGTGTTTAAGTTGATTCTAATTATTTTTGTCAATCACAAGCCTTAGTAAATGTGGAATTTGGAAAACCAAAGTCTTTCATTCACTGAATCTCAGTCTCTTAAAAACCAAAGGTGATTCCCTGGCACTTTGAATTACACTTTCATACTAATTGAGATCAACTTAAAAAGAATTGAAATTGGTGTTTCTTCAGTCAGTGACTCAGGCAGCTGGGAAAAAATGTGATTTCTTCCAGCAGTGGTCAAACCTAAAGGCTGTGCTTTATCAGCCCGTGTCTCCTTGCACCTAACATTAATTTTTTTCTCTGGTGGCAGGAAAATCATAGGTTTTAAATTGAAATCATAGGTTGGGCATCCTATATCTCACAGATTGACTACACTGGGCTCCCTTCAAATTTTCTTAAAACCCGGTCTTGAACATATGACTTTCAGATTACTAGTCCAGATGCTCTGCCAATGAGAAACCAGAGTATTGTGAGAACTTAAGTTTTGAACTACAATTGGTGACATAAGTAGTGAAGCTTTCCCTCCTCTACCTTCTGTAAATAATGTTGTACTACTGTTCAAGCAATCTGTTGCAAACAACATGTACTCCAACTTTGAATTGAGGCCGGAGGAAGGGTTGTTGATTGTTCTCTGAAATAATTTATAACCCATTTGACATAAGTGTCTTAAAAAATTTCTCGCTGATTGTAGGTTTGTGTGAAAAACATTCTGCCTACTGGTGGCATTTTGGCAATGACTTAAATGTGATGGTGAAGTTAAATGTAGAGACTGGTGATTACAATTGTAAATATAGAGATTTAGAATCTTGTTCACAGCAAAGAGAAACATGATCTAATGTCAGTTTCATCCATTACAATTATCTTGGGCAGTATTTCTTTTCTCCCTTTTTCTTAATTTGATAGCTTTAATCTGAATTTTTACTGTTTGCGGCAAATGTGACGGTATATCTTGCTCATAAGAATGATGTTTCCCCAGCCAGTCTGTCAGTACATGTAATGTACATGTAGATGACTTTATAAAAGGGTTGCATTAACTATTTCCAAGTTAACATGTATCAAAAAATGGTGTACCTAAATCTCTCCAGTCTAGGCCATCCTTTACACTCCTGACTTTTCTGTCTTTCTTCTGTGTACTTCTATACAGTAGTTTTGAGCTGTCATTTTAGGATGATAGTCAGATCTATGTCCAGTTGACAAATGCTGAAATTGCTTTATATGCTTGACTTATTTATCAAATGTATGAGAAGTTACAGGTATGCTTAGAGGAATACGGGTAGGAGATAAAAAATGAAAACTGATTCTTAACAAATTATTGTAACAGACTATTTTCCTACAGTACATGTAGACACCCCTATCATGGACATGTTGTTTAAATTCCATGCATATTGACCTTTAGAATTATACCTGTGTACAGTGTAGTTTTGTATAAAATGATTAAACTTGGCAAGACTTAAATTCATGGCATCATCTTTCCACACTTAATCTGTCTGTTTTATTAATGATAAATAATATTAGTCAATGAGCATAATTACATTGTTATGTGTGAAAAGTTGATTACATATAATATTGGTAAGAAATAAAGATGATCTTTGTGGTGAACAGAAATGTCAAGGTCACACTGATGAATGGTGATTAATATTTTTTTGTTATAGATGGAATACATCCTCCGAGCAAAAAGAAGTGAACTTACTTCCAAACTTCTGATGTCTGGTTCTGACGGCTTGAGTAATGATTTACGAAAAATGGACCCTGAGACTCAGGCTCGCTTAGAGACTCTTCTAGAAGCTGCAGGTACGCTGTATGATTAAATCATGTTGCCTAAAACAAACAGTGAAATATTATGGACTAGGTTAGCCTGCACCACAGACGAAACTGTAAGAAGCAATATGTTCTGCATAGAAAAAGATCTGATGGTGACTATTCTAGTGTCTTTCCTCATGGTTTCAGTTTGAAAATTTTGAGGGTTGTTTACCATTTACATGGGAAAATCAGTCAGTCCACAGTTCGGGCATATGGTAAGCAAAATTCAGGACTGGTAAATTTGAAATTTCAAAGCCCTAAAATGCAATTTTCAGCATTCTGGGGACTAAAGTGATGACCGAAGAGCATGTTTTTCATTCAATAAAATGTAGCTTTTATTCAACTTTTGATTTATCAGTCACAATCAAATCCTACCAGCAATGAACAAATGATGAAAACAAAATTAGGTACTTTTGCACGTCAATAAATTCGGCGTAAACCTACATGTATAAGGAAACTTGTGAAAACTGACTTAATATAGCGTTTACATGACTAACGCATAACATAAAACCAGTGGGCCGTGATAAAAACACATAATAGTTTTACGATATATTTTTGGTTTACAAAGTTGTTCAAACTAGTTCATTCTTCTTTCTAGAAAAAAGTAGCCGACTTCTATGAGCAAAGTAGCGGACGTGTTTCGTTGGCCGTCGGTGCTTAGTGAAACCATTGATTGTTTCCTGTACTTTATTTTGTTTGGGTTAATTTTATTTTGTTTGGTATTTTGTAAGTGTAAAGGAGCACATTCTAGACAACATTGCCCGTATGGTCGGTGCACCCAGAGTTAATTTTTTCAACCCTGTGCTAGATTAAGAAGAAACAAGTGTTGTTCATCTTTGCGTTCATTTCTTTGACTGTCAGGTGTTGGTAAGCTGGCAGATGGCAAAGCGTTTACTGATCCTGAAGTTCTTCGTCGTTTAACATCATCAGTCAGTTGTGCACTGGATGAAGCTGCTGCTGCCTTGACAAGGATGAGATCTCATAATAATGGCATGCCATCATCAGCAGGCCAAACTACTGCTGATTCAGGTCAGTGAGGCCTCTATTACTTATGTAGTTGTACATACTATTTTTGTGTTTACAGTTTCCATATAAACTCGTAAAACACCATGCAGTCTTCACATGTCCATGATGTCAATAAGTACAATGTACTTGTAAGCAAAGCGATGATTCTGAAGGTCAGGTACAAATTAAAATACTGTATGATTCAGTTTGCAAACAAGAAGAGTCTATTACATTCTAGTCCTTGCTTGTCATTACACCAATTTATTTTTTTCTAGTCAAAAGAAATTTTGCAAAAAGGGTAATTGTGGTCATTGGCATGCTACATAACAAGAAGGTGAAGTACAAGGTTCTCAATAGAATCCGGCACCTGGTGATCTAATCGCCGCCTACTTTGGAATTTGTAGCTGCTTACTTTGCATTCTATTTGCTGCTTTTCTCTTTTTCATTCACAGGAAAAATAAGAGAATTCCCAATATCTTGAAATTGGGGTTATTTTGGTTCTAACTTGGGCCTAACTTGGGTCTAGTATGGAATTAAACTTGGGAACTGTTTATTTCCCAAAGTAATACCTCAAGTTAGGAAATGGGAACAACTCCCAAGTTATTCCCAACCTGTGCTGAAATAGGGAATTGTTAAATCAACAATATAGACCCATATTTGACCCAAATATAGGGTCTAATTTGGGATATATTTACCCCAAGTTAAACCACATTTAGTCCCATAGTAGAGTTTATCTGAACCCAGGTTTGTCCCAAAGTCATATCCAAGTGGTCCCAAATAGGGTCAGAATTGGGAAAAATAACAAGGACCTTTTAGCCTCATATAGTCCCACAATTGGGTCAAAATGATCCCATCTTTTATTCCTTGTTCCAAGCTCTGTTCAAGTTCTTCCTAAAGGACAGGGTTAAACAGCAATAATTTATTTAGTTGTCACATCTAACTAAAACACCAAACTGATTTTGATATGAAAATGCCATTCTTTTATTTACATATATAAACTGGAAACACTTACAGTGCGTAATGCGGTATTTTTAACAGTGTAAATTTACATACAATTCCAATTTCGTTACATCAATCATTCACAAAAACTGCACAATGTTCTTGAATTACTTGCCAATAAAATCCACTTGCAAAGTCCTTGATCCCCGAAAACAAATTCCTCACAAGAAGCCTTAAGGTGTTCACACAAAGTTCCCACGCACAGTCCTGCGTTGTTCCTTAAATAGATTCCATCCAGCGGGCTTTGATGACAAAACTTGAAACAAAATCCGCAATAAAAGTTCCTGATTCGTACTTAACAGAATCCAGTAATCTTGTGAAAGTCAAATCCAAAAGTCAAATCCCATGAATAAAGGCAATCCGTAAAAAATCCATTCCGTGACAATCGCTGTAATGGATTTAGTAGTCCGCACGTAAACATGTTTTTCAAAATCCAAAATCCAAAAGTTTCCAGAAAATCGCTTCAAAAATGTTCACTATTCATTGCTTCAGGTTCTCAAAACTCTCAAAAGGCAAGGGGAAAAACAGCAAGTACATCTGCTGTAAAAAAAACCCTCAAGACAAAAATTCAAAATGGCAAAAACGTTTTGGCTGAAGACTGCGTACTATGAAAAAATTCAAAGGTGTTCGATTGAAGAGGATCGAAATACACCAATCAGAGAAAGGCGTTTTAAATGCCTGTTTCCCGAGAGGTCAGCTTATGCTGAATTACTGCTTTGTGATTGGCCCATTAATTTTATTATTCTTAGATTTACTTTTAACTGAAACTTTTTCAAAATTTGTTGATAATTTTACAACCTCTGTGTTTCAAATGCCTAAAAGTATAAAATCCTTGCCCAGTTGTTATTTTAAAATCAAATTTCATTTTTCAACGGGTTCTCCCCAGGACTTTTTCAGTAAGAAGTAGCTTTGAACATAGCTGTGTTCAAGCTTAGGTTTGCAAAATTTTTAGGTACAAATTTTTCTGTTGCAAGACTAGAGAAGAAAATTAAGCGACTTATTTACAGTGTAAGACAAAAAATGTTTTTGATATAAGAAGATTACAAAACTCCAGCCCTTGTAACAAAAATAAAAAGAAGAAATGCTGTCTTAAAACAAGATCCTTATACTTAATTCAAGCTTTGTCTTAAAATCATTTTCGGCCTCTTAAAAACGTTTGTAAATCAATGTTTTTCCTTCTTAAAACAAGGATGTTCTTTGATTGAAGTGACTAGTTCTTAATTTAAACGGACCTACTTTTAGAGTAAGTAAGAAGAGTTTATCCCACTCAACATGAATTTTTGTTATTTTGGGGAAAATGTTTTGTTGGTGCATCTTCTTTTTCTGTCTTCCTTTTCTTTAACACAAATAATTACAAAAATTACCGCACACCACAAAACAGTTAATGCTGAGGTGAGCATGTCCCAATTTCACTCACAAAAATTGTGTTTGCACGAAATAGTCCCAAAGTAGGTGTGACTTAATTTTTATGAACCCTAGTTATCCCCACTGTTATCAGCTGAAGTATCAAATTTTGGGACTACTTTGGGAAACATACATTGGTAATTACAAGAAATGAAATTTACTCTCAAAATATACCCAACTTTGGCCCAAGAATAACCGATTACACCCCAAAACAGTTAATGTTGGGGTGAGCATGTCCCAATTTTGACCCATAAAAAATGTGTTTGCTTGAAATAGCCCCAAAGAAGGTGCAAATTAATTTATGTAAACCCAAGTTATCCCCAATGTAATAAGCTGAAGAAACTAATTTTGGGTCTTATTTGGGAAACATATATTGGGAATTACAAGTGGAGCATTTAACTCTTAAAGTAAAACCCAACTTTGCCCCAAGAATAACCCAACTTTAAAAGTTGGGAATTATTATTTCCCAAGTTAGAACCAAGTTTGACCCAAGTTGGGATTTGTCCAATGTTTCCTGTGATTTGTGCTCATGTCCTCTACCTAACCCTTTCATCTGATTTGGATTTTTCCTTGACATTTATTGCACAAAATAATTGAAACAATCAAGACTAAACAAATAAACTTCCTCTCTTGACAACCACCATGTTTTCAACCACATTTATAAATATCTGGGTACAGTACGCGACATTCACTTTGGCCCAGCCCTTCACTGTAAAAACATGTGCTCTCTATAGAGAGCTATTTTTGTAAAGATTTATTACCAAAATTTCATGTATTGTGATTTCATTTTATTTAGTATTTGTTTAAAAGTGTTGACATTTATAATTTTTAGTTAACCAAAATAATGTTCATGTAGGAGCTCGAAGTCTTGCCGAAGCCTGCCTTGAGGGAGATGTTGGTGCTGTGAGGAAGCTTCTTGAAGAAGGCTGGAGTGTCCATGAACCTACCGACGAAGGAGAAAGTCTTCTCTCGTTAGCTTGCTCAGCAGGTTTGAATTTGTTTCCTGCATTTATTCCACATTTACACATTAAATTAGCAGTGCAGGTTATCACTGAGGTCACTTAAATATTTAATCTTTAGGGCTGTCACTAACATTTCAAGGTGCTGGGTGTATGCAGTTAGTAGGTGGGGAACTGAACTGCCAGTGAGTTCTTTTGCTCCAATTTTCCTTTAGTTTCCTACGCAAATGGCTAGGGATCATGCTCATAGTTACTATGAGGCCGGGGGATTTACTAAGTAGCCAGGGGAAATCCCCAACCCCCAGCCCTCAGGGACGGCTCTAAATCTTGATTCTTATTATTCTCTGCAGGAGTTCTTTAAGTAGAAATAAACTCACCTTTGCACCTTTTTGTGGGTCTGTTTTTTCTAAGAAATGTACTTGTATATAAGGGTAAAATCACTAACACTCTTAAAGCAAGGCAAAAACATATGCAGACTTAAACCATACCAAAGCCTACATTGTAGATATAGCTGCCGTATGGCGACTTCTTTTACTGATCACCACTAACAATAGACGCACAACTTTATTCTGGTTTGACTCATTGAGGGTTACAGCAATAAGCAAGATGGTAGACTTTTGACCCCAAAGACTCGACTGACATTAGGGGCGATGTACCGTAATTTGTCGTATTTGATGTGTTGTGGTTTAAACTGAAATACATTTGGTGAAAATAAAACTTCAGAAATACTGCGAGCACAAAAGAAATACTGCAAAAGGAAATACAGCAAACGAATGGACAACACACTTACATTGTTTTGGCGCAAAACTTCTGACGGCAAAAGAGATACAACTGTACTCCTGACAGGAAACTACTACTTACATGTAGTGCTCTTGAAGAAACAATGATGAAATAAACGCTGAACTGAAAATGCTAGAAGGTGATTTAAGTTAAAAACAAGAAATGCAAATAAGGGCTAGGCACATGTAGGATTCCAAGGGGAGTTGATTAGCTGCTAAATTGTTCTTTAGGCCGTTAGATACAATAGTAGACATAATCTAACCCTAGTTACTAACATCTGCATAGAATTATTGAGATTCTTGTTCTAATCCCTCAACGGACTCAGTGAATTACCAGGAGTGAGTTTTGAATTTCCCTTCAACCTGATTAGCCAACTGAACAGTGGCTTTTTAAAATAAACATCAACCATAGCACATACTCAAATCCTGGTATACAGTTAGGGCCTGAAACAAAGATTTTGGCACTGGTTCACAGATGGACTTAACTGGAAGTTCAGTTTCTTCTGTGGTGCAGGCTAACCAAAGTAGTATTATTTCACGGTTTGTTTTAGGCTATTATGAGCTTGCCCAGGTGCTCCTGGCCATGAATGCTAATGTCGATGATCGTGGAAGTAAAGGCGACTGCACCCCTCTGATGGAAGCTTCTAGTGGTGGCTATATTGACATTGTCAAGCTGTTACTTGAGCACACTGCTGATGTCAATTCACAGTCACAGGCTGGTAACACTGCTCTCATCTATGCTTGTTGTGGTGGCTACGAAGATGTTGTCGAAGAGCTATTAAATCATGGTGCAGATATAGAGGCTCACAATGAGAATGGCCACACTCCTTTGATGGAAGCTGCAAGTGGGGGACATGTTAATGTTGCCAAGATGTTACTTGAACGAGGTGCTTGTATTAACTCACATTCAAATGAGTTTAAGGAGAGTGCCTTGACATTGGCATGCTATAAAGGTAATATATAAATAGAGAGATGTTGTCTCCCTTTTGTAGTGTGGTTTTCTACATAATAACATTGTTTTTCACTGTTAATAATACAGTTCTGCTTGTAGGATGCAGTATAGATCTCTTTGCAAATAAATATTGACTCTTGCTGTATATCTTTAATGTTAGATGTTAGCTATAAGCACACTTGTAATTTGGCCTTTACTGTGTACTTACAGTAGAACCCCAGTAACTTGAACTGTGAAAGGAAACAAAAAACAGTTCGTCTTAGCGAGGGTTCGAGTTATCAGAGTCAATTTCCCAATTCAATAGTTGCTGATTTTTCAGTGCCTTAGTGTATAGTGCAGTGCAAATTGCACTTATTTCATCAGAAACAGGAACACCATTAGACATTTTTTATGATAGAATGTGATGTTCATTTCACCAATGAAAGTCAAATTGATGCAGTGTTGACGAGTGTTAGTTTTAGTGTTTTTGCCATTTGTACAAAAAGAAGAGCTAATCGGATATATGGCATCCGAGTGGAGTTACAAGAACCAGCATTTGAGTTGTCGGGGTAAATTTCAGTGAATTTTTGATCAAGTGAAATGAAATTTAGTTCAATTCGAGTTATCTGAGTTTGAGTTATCGAGGTCACATGTAACTAATGATGACGTTTTAAACTTGAAGTGATATCTACAATGAAGCTCAAAGTGATTCCCTTTAAAGTGCTTTTAAAACCTACATGTGCATTCTCCTTTCAATAACAGTTTCATACTTGGCTAGAATTTTAATCTACTTCACATTTAGTTTTGGTTAGCAATATCTTAGCTTGTCAACGTGATTGAAAACACTGAGTTGAATTTGGGTCATTTACGTTCTTTTGTTTAGAAGAAAGAAGTTAGAACATTAGTAGAACTACATTGCCATAATTATATTTTAGGTCACCTTGAGATGGTCAAGTTTTTGCTTGATGCTGGAGCTGATCAAGAGCACAAGACAGATGAAATGCACACAGCACTAATGGAGGCCTCCATGGATGGGCATGTGGAAGTCGCAAAGCTTCTTTTAGATCATGGCGCACAGGTGTACATAAAACTATATATCTATAAATTCTATTAAAATTCATTTCACTGCTATGAAATTTACTGGGCCGGGTTGCTTGAGGCTGGGTTAAGATAACCCAAAGTTAGTGCGAAATTTGAACTCAGATATGAGAGCTTAAAAAGCAAATTCAGTGTAATTCACTTTGCATACAATTTGATGATTGGATACTCTAAAAAGAATAGAAAAATTATCCGTGAGAGTGCTTTTGATAAAAAGGAAAAGAAACCCGGGTTAAAATTTGACCCCGGGTTGGGACAACTGGGCCCTGGTTTCTTAGAAGGTGGAATCTGTCATTTTTTTTACACACTGGACAGGGCGTGAAGACTAGGCCAAGTCAAAGTTGACATAAACTTTAGATGATATTTTGGGCAGGAGAAAAGTGATCATTTTTGTTTAGCAAGACTGAAAATTCTTTCTTAATAACTGATGTTATTGTTTTTGTGTGTGTCTCTTTTTTCACAAGTCCCAGTCCCTTATGCAATTTTGCATTGGCTAGCAAACCTACCACTACCTCTTAGCTTGGTAAATTAACTTGAAATTTACTCACAACATCTCCTGGGGAGGGAAAGCAAAGAGTTACTTCTCCCCCTTTCTATTCAGATAAACAACAATTTTGTGATGTCTTTGTAGGTTAACATGCCTGCTGATAGTTTTGAATCACCTCTGACATTAGCAGCTTGTGGTGGTCATGTTGAGCTTGCTGATTTGCTGATCAAAAGGGGTGCTTTCCTAGAAGAAGTTAACGATGAAGGGTAAGTTATGGCTCAGTTGAGAAGAAAATACAAGGAAATTTAGTGCTTAGCTATGTTGCAATAAGATAGTTTCAGCTGTATCAGCTTTTGGAGTTAAAGAGTTTGGAATATGTGATAACACATTGCATTTCAAGAACTGGTTGGATGCTAATATTAATAGCCCATGTTTATATTAAAATTCTAACATGACTCGGAGGCTTTAGGGTCAAAATTGCAAATTTTTCACGACTCTGTTGTCTCTCAATTCCCAGAAGAGACTTGGGCACAAAGAAAACCAAACTAAAAATAGAAATATGATCAGAAAGTGTCAGAGTCATGTTAGAATAATTCTAACAATGTATCGAATGTGGGCTATTGAGCTACTTAGTGGTTGATCATGGCAAACTGAATCATTCATTAAATTCATGGTCACACATGTCCTTCATACACCCATAGGAACACCTAATGTGTACTTAAAGCTCCATGTCTTTAGCAGGGAGCTTGGAAATTAACATAGTGGATGTAGTGTTCCTTAAGTCTTGAGTTTTGGACAAGGAACGACCCAAGTCCTTAGCAGAAATTCAACCTACTCTCAATTCTTGAAACTAGAGAATCAATTTTCAAGACTTGAGACTTGATTCTAGAAAGTTTTCGAGAGTTGTGAATTGAGTCTTGAGGATCAAGGGGCTAGTGACTGTCAACTTACTTCTGAGTGGCACTGTGTAGCACAGAGGGGATGGGATAGTGTCAAACTCATGGACTGATTGTTCTGTTTCTTTTATTTAAACTTTACCCTTGCTTTTCAGGTACACCCCTCTCATGGAGGCCTCCAGGGAAGGGCATCTGGATATGGTCGCTCTTCTTCTAGAACATGGTAGAGAAAATTTTTTTCAGTCAAAGAAAAATTACTTCAGTAAAACTACTCTTTTTGAGAAGATATTCTGTGTGCTATTTTCCAACAAGGTGCATTCTTTTCATTTAACAGGAGCTGATATTCATGCACAGACGGAGGAAACTCAAGAGACAGCCTTAAGCTTAGCTTGTTGTGGCGGTTTTCAAGATGTTGCTGCCTTTCTTCTTCAAGCAGGTATAAAAAATTACTATGTGTAATATCAGTGAATAGAAATGAGAGAAAAGAGCCAAAATTACCAAAATTGCATCTTAATACATGTACATAATAAACTACCAATGGGGTTGGAATACACTTTCAATAACATGTGAACTTTGAAGTTCAATAGCCAACAGTTTACAAGCATTTGCCTTCTTTGCTGCATCAGTCATCTTAGCTGACGTCGCAGAAAACAGAAGTTTTACATGTAATTGATGGATTTTGATCCATTTTGTGTGTCTGTGTTTCAGTGTTGGTTATTATGCTAGGTGGTAGCAAAACATACATTTTTTTCTGAAGTTGAAAGTTTGGGTGTTTTTTTAGACCAGGCCTGAATGTCAGGCAAGGTAGCTTGGAATAACTGAATGCAAGTCTTTGTCCAAAGCAAAAATTGAAAAACATAAATAACAATACTTTTTTGTTCATCTTAAAAGGTGCTGCCATTGAACAGGGTTCATCAACTCCTCTGATGGAGGCTGCTCAGGAAGGACATGTAGAGCTTGTAAGATTCCTTCTGGAGCAAGGTATCATACCCTTTAAACTCATAAAGCTTTATTACAACAGTCACTCAAAAAATTGTCCTTTCTGTGCTGATTTCTAAGCTAGTGCTTATAGCTTATCATAAACATAATAGCAAGATCTGAGGTCTGTCAGAAAGAACATGAAAATAACCACAATGGTTTTGATAAATATAAATAAATTTGTCAGTAGAACAGCATGATAATCTTGGTACATGTATTGGCAGTATCACCTTTGGTAGCTTACTTTTTGTTGTTTTATCCACTCAGTCAAACAAGCTTTGGGTGAATGCATTTGCAACATACTCGTATGGTGGTCACGTTTCCTTATTAGAATTTTATATAGTTTTCAGGCTTGAATACAAAAAAAATTTACCTGGAGACAGATGCAATGGCTATTTCTGTTTGCTTCAGATGTATCCACCCTACGATTCAGATTGAGAGTTGTTTTTGTTTATTCCAGGGGCAAATGTGAATGCAACAACTGCAACTGGTGACACCCCATTGTCTTTTGCTTGTGAGAATGGTCACACTGATGTTGCTGATGTTCTGCTTGCTGCTGGGGCTGAACTGGTAATATTTTGTCACCATGGCACACATGAACCCCCTCTGTGATCTTAAAACATAAAACATAAATAATTTTATTTCTTAACTGTTGTACCCCAGACTGGGTTATACACGTGTCATACACATGTGCTATCACACATGTACCGTGTAGAACCCCATGTCTTGTTGTAGCGTCTTGGAGTTATTGTATGTAAGAAACGTTATCATTCATTCAAAATATTTTGCTGTTTCTTATTGCCTCTAAACAGCTAACCAACTTGTGCTTACCATTATTTGGAAAATGTGAGCAATATGCCATCAATTTGATGGTATAAATTATGTTATCCTAGTAACTTTACCTACTGGTATGAAATAACATTCAACCTCTCGCTATTTTTGTCCACAGGAACATGAATCTGAAGCAGGTCGTACACCTCTCATGAAAGCAGCAAGAGCTGGTCATCTTTGCACAGTGCAGTTCCTCATCAGTAGAGGTACATTTTGTAACAATGACACTTTCAAGTCATGCTCCAATTATTCATATCTGTCTTACAAGGTACCTATAATAAAGTTATGATGGTTTTTCTACAGGAGCTGATGTCAACCGTCAAACCACTATGAATGATCACACTGTGCTGTCTCTTGCCTGTGCTGGAGGACATTTGGCAGTTGTGGAACTTCTGTTAGCGCATGGTGCTGATCCTTTACATAAGCTTAAGGTAAGGATAACATTGATGCATATCTTCCCTGTTTAGGCAGCCACTAGTTTTCTTTTTACAACTTGTATTTGCATTTAAATTTTGACGAGAGAAATGTGAATTTTTTATTCATACTTGTCTGATATGAGCTTTGCTGATGCAGAGCTGCTACCATCAACCTGGAGCTGGGCATTTTCCAGCTACAAGGAATATTTTCTTCAAGCTCCAAATTCATTGTAGTTAAATATGAAATCAAATGTTTTTGTCCATGTAACCTTAATCCTCACTTTACCCCTTTTTGATACACAATGCACATGATAAAAGCTGCAATCCTGGCCAAAAGGTTTTGGGAAGCCTACCCTTTTTTCACGTGTTTTTGTATGGAATTTGCAGCTAACCTCAGATACACACTCATAAACACGGCCTTAACGAGAATTCCCCCCCACAAACAAAGTTGAAGACCTTAACGTGTGCAAGATATGTAAAAGGCGTTTGACTTGCAACAAGCCAACACTGTCCATGAAGGCGGGGGGAGGGGTCAACTTGAATTGCAATTTCTTCACCTGAAACAGAAAGTGCCCCAAACGTTTTGACCAGGATTGTAGTGCCAGCCTTTCTTTTGGCCTTTTGTGGGTTTATTTGTGTGCCCTATGAACATTTAAACAAATTTTGTGCTCATTTTGTTTCAGGACAATTCAAACATTTTAATAGAAGCCGCAAAAGGAGGCCATGCTGCAGTGATCTGTTTTCTACTTGAAAATCCCATAGTTTCCAATCCACCTGAACTTCCACTTCAATCAATACCTGCCTCCCTTCCAACTCCTATGGTGCCTCCTCCACGAGTCCCACCTGTCCATTCTACTCAGCCTCCAGTCATGGAACATCCAGATCTGCCAGATGTGAATGAAACCATGTTGGAGAGCCAGCAAGCCATGCTGAACCAGTTGTCAAATGCTCCCTTATCCCCGCAATCTCCTCTGTTGCTAAATGCTCCTGCTAACTTCCTTATGCCAGATGTGCCGATCACGTCTTGTTCGACATCCTCCACCATGCCTTCTGTCAGCCAGTCCATGTCTGACATGTCAACCAACATGACGTCAACAGCTGTGCAAACTGACAACAAGGTTGTGATTTGCGAGAAACTGCAGCTTATTCAAGGCAAGTTGGCCAAGGCACTGAAGAATGCCAACCTCTCATTAGACAACATCCCCCCTGAGCTGCTACAGAGTGTTAATGAGGAGGGGTCAGCACTGAATCTTGATGGTGAGGAGATTGCAGTCCCTCCATCTCCTTTCTCTATGCCTATTGGAACAGGTGGGGTGATGGGAGACCAAGACAACATTGAGGGATTGATGGTTGCTGAGCCGGCACAAACTCTTCATGACACTATTGGAGATATGATATCTGAAGGTATGAATAACTTAAACAGCTTGTAAAACATTGTGAAACAAAGTAATCATGAGCTCCAAGTTGCATCAAGCCTCTTTTTAAAGTGAGGGTACTGTGTCAGGGTTCGCACAGTCTTGAAAAGTCCTTAAATTTTAGGGGACGTCCTTGAAAAGTCCTTAAATTTTAGGGGATGTCCTTGAAAAATCCTTAAATTTTGGGGGACGTCCTTGAAAAGTCCTTGAGTTTTCTTCAACTTTGAATATAGTGGCCTGCCCTGGAAAGTGTTTTTGATGCTTTTTGGTTGTCTAAGATATAAAACATAGCTCAGAGAATTTAAAGGTTATTTACATAAAGTGCTCTATGTTTTATGCAATAATTAACCATCAATTTAAGACAAGTGAACTGAAAAATGTAGAGAAGTTGGTGAAGCAAACAGTTCAAGCCTTAAACTCTTATTAGAATAGCCTGGAAATGTGCATTTTTGTACAGTCTGTAAAATTATATTCCTAGTAGGTGGTCCTTGAAAATCTAATGTGGTCCTTGAAAAGTCCTTGAAAAATGGTTGCATGTTTTTGCTTGAACCCTGAGTGTATGAGTGAAGTCATTGATATGAAAATAAGTAAATAAATGTTTTACTCTTATGCAAATTATATACTCATTTACACATGAAAGGGTTTTTGGAATAGCCTTATTTGCGAGTGAGGGCTCTGGAACTAGAAAATAATCATCTTTCTGAAATTAACATTCTCACACTGAACACAGGACAGTTTGGAAGGCCACTGTCAGTAATTATTGCAGATGATGATGATAAAGGTTGGCCATAGTGGTACAGAGAACAATTTTCTGTTTCAAAATGTGCGCTGTTGCTGAAGAAATCATAAGCAACCCCCTCTTCTTTACAGTACTCTGCCTTGATTGACCTTGGCTATTTTAACCTTGTGACAAAAGATTGTCAAGATAAAAAAAACACTTCACTTTTTCTCTTAAAAAGCAGCGTGAGATACACACTTTTTAAAATAAGTGTCATCCAACAATTGTATTTGCTTCTAAGAAGAGATTCAAAAAGCAAGAAATACATGTAGTTCCCCTTTTAAGTTATATGATCTCTTAAAACTTATACCAGAACTTTGCAGTATTGACATGACTTTCATTTAATTCCAGACTCAAGCAACAACAGCAGTCCTCCTACCCCACCAGAACTCTGTACACCATCAGTGCCCTTGACACCCACCCCCTCCCCAGCATCTCCTCAGTTCCCACCCATGATTGATGTGGACCAGCAGACAGACAGTAACTCAGACACTGCTCTCACACTGGCTGCTGCAGGGGGTCATGATGAGCTTGTAACACTTTTGCTGGTCAAAGGCTCTGACATTGAGCACAGGGACAAGAAAGGTGGGTTATGGAAAATTTTATTGGTTACAAATATGCACTGTCCAAAACACTGCTTTGTTATAAGCAATGATGGCCAGCAAAAAGGTTCAGCTACTTTGCTCAGAGAAGTCTGCTACTTCTCCCACCCCTAATAATTGAAGTAAAAATTAAAGAAAGATTTGTGTAACTTAGCCTTGATGTTACATTCGGTTATTCTTCTCAAACCAGCTGCTTACTTACATTTTATTGAAACCTCCTATAAAAAGAAGTCTCAACTTGTGCCAACTTAAAAATAACTGGGTCCACTGTTTATTTATAGGTGTGACCTGTACATGTACATTTATGGTTTTTTCATTGCCAAGCTGGCTTGCACCTTGTGTCATTTGATCATCATTGTTATAGTTGTTTGAATATTAGAGTATGTTATATTATGTGTAAATAAAAACGTGGTATTGCAGCTTAAGTTCTAGGTGAATGCATCAATTTGTGAATTGTCCAGGTAGTTAAAAGAAGTGTTGTGAAGTTGAGTTTAAATGAAAAAGTTTTGCAAATTAGCATTCAAGCCTTAGTTTACTAAAGCTATGTATTGTTATTTTTTTTCTTGGTTTCAGGCTGTACCCCTCTGATTCTAGCAGCTACAGCTGGACATGCTTCCACTGTTGAGATCTTGATGGAGCATAGGGCAGATATTGAAGCTCAGTCAGATCGCACGAAAGATACTGCACTCTCCCTGGCATGCTCTGGTGGCAGGCAAGAGGTAAGTACAGCTGGTATAAAAAATGCAAGTTATTATTTCCAGTTCTATGATAACATGCAAAACTACGTAGTTCAGCAAATTGTGTTAATAACGTCAATAAAGTTCTCATTAGACTGTTTGACTGTGACAATACACAGATCGAAACGTACTTATGAGATTACAAGTCTTCAACAATAACATCGCGACTTAATTGACCAATCTGGTCAATAACCGAGTTAGATACCATCAACTGACTTGATACAACTCACTTTGACTCTGATGACTACCGCACAGGTTGTCGAAATGTTAGTCTCTCTCAACAACAACAGTCCTATTCAGGACTACGCTCACCGGGATGATCATACTCAACCTACTTATGAAATGACTCCTGGGTTCAAACCTTTCATAGTTATACAAACTATGTTAGTTTGTAAATTCAGAATTGAAGCCAGTGTGTGTTCTTAAGAGTAGCCTGAGAAAACAACTGACTTTTCACTACGCCACCACTGGTTTCTCTGCAAAATAGTGTCTGAGGAACAAGCTCAGAAATTCCATACTGATTATGCATCACTACCCGGATCTGGTCAGTGCTTCTGATGAGTTGAAGCACATTATCCTTGCAGCATGACCAATCAGAAGTGCTAACCAGGTCTGTGTAGTGATGCATCATCAGTAAGGAATTTCTGCACTCATTCCTCAGGTGCCATTTCGTAGGGAAACCACTTGGTGGTGTCACAAATGTTAGCAGTTTTCTCAGTCTGTCTTGAGAGTGCACCGGGGTACAGTGTAAGTCACCTGTAGCCCAACACCACATGCTACATTATTAACCCTTTCACTGCCAAATGTAGCCAAAGGAAAATTTCGACCAAGTTTGCAAATTTCATTTTGTAAAAGTTTGAAAAACAAAATAATAGCACCACGTGACAGTACAGGCAGAGAGCTTTCATTTGAATGGTCACATCATAGGATTTCGTCCACAGACTCAAAAGTTAGAGTCACCTTACAAAACTCCATCAAGTACTCTGGCAGTGAAAGGGTTAAACTCGAAATTATTATGTTGAAGTCCTTGTGTAGCACCTTCTGTAGAACTACAGTATTCAGTTGTGAACAGTTAGAGTTTGAGTGTTAGGTCCACCCATCAAAATGGTCATATTTTAAGTCTAAGTCAAGCGAAAATATTTTGGTCTCTATTAACCTCCAAAAGTTGTAACTGGAAAGATGAAGTGTAAAAGTCATTTATGACGGTCACTGTTTTCTTTTAACAGGTTGTTGAGTTACTAATTGCTAAGGGAGCCAACTTTGAACATCGCAATGTGTCAGATTACACCCCACTGAGCCTTGCTGCCTCTGGAGGTTATGTTGGGATCATCAAGCTTCTCTTGAATCACGGAGCCGAAATAAACTCGCGCACTGGAAGTAAACTTGGAATATCCCCCTTAATGTTAGCATCAATGAATGGCCACACAGCAGCTGTGAAGCTTCTGCTTGATATGGGAAGCGACATTAATGCACAGATTGAGACCAATAGGAACACTGCTCTAACTTTGGCCTGCTTCCAGGGACGTCATGAAGTTGTCAATCTGTTGGTGGAAAGAAAGGCAAACATTGAACATCGTGCTAAGGTTTGTAGCTGATGTACATGTACAGTTCATCTGAATTGCTTTAATTAGACTATTCAAATGGCTTAAGTTGCTGTGTGGAAGGTTGTTGGTTGTCTTGGCTTCACGGATGGCGCAAGAAAGACCCTATATTCATGGGGGAGTTTGCACATGCTTCCTTAAAAACATTTAAATTAAAATTTTTATCTAGCAGCAAGAAAGCAACGTTACTACTTTTGTTTATACATCTCTGGGATTGTTTAATGTTAGAATAACATAACTTGCAAGTTTATTCAGGAAGTAGAAAAAAACATCTTGAAAAGGAAACACAAGATTAACCCTGTGATATCAATTACAAAATCAGCTATAGTGCGACCCTATAATGGTCCTCATTTTAACAGACTCCTTGGTATAACAAATGATCTCCTCTTCCCCAGTAATAGTTGAATATATAGGAAAAACCTCAACATAACATAACTTCGTTGTAGCAGACATATTCAGTTTTTCCAGCCCCTGGGCCCTTCGTTATGTTGAGGTTCCACTTTATAACTGTATTGGCAGAAGCTTTAGTTTTTGTTTTGATGTACCGGTACTGTATCCTTCAGACTGGTCTGACCCCACTGATGGAAGCAGCTTCTGGTGGGTATGTTGAGGTCGGAAGAATTCTTCTTGATAAAGGTGGTGACGTCAATGCCCCTCCAGTTCCATCATCACGTGATACAGCATTAACGATAGCAGCAGACAAAGGACATTACAAATTCTGTGACCTTCTGTTGTCCCGTGGAGCTATGGTTGATGTGAAGAACAAGAAAGGAAACTCACCACTTTGGCTGGCTGCTAATGGTATGTAACATATATGCTTGTGATACAGTGAATTTCATAGACGTCAGTGGTGTTGTACAGTTTTAATTCTGAATGTTTTAATACCACAACACTTGTTTGTAAAACCCTCAGAGCTACAATGCTCATTCCTTTTCAAGATAATCTGCTTGAAGGCTACCTCATTAAGCACACCTAGCCTATGATTTTATATAGCCTGCGTAGCAAGCCTTTCCGTTTGGTTTCGGAGAAAAGAAAGGCCCCTGCCCCCCCCTTTTACTCGCGCCATTTTGGCGCCGTCTTTGACTCTCGTTCCTCGTTCTTTGCTCCGAAACCGCACGGAAACGCTTGCTACGCAGGCTTGATTTTATATGGCAGCTTGGTTGGTGATCAGAGGACCAAATAAACAGCAAAGCCACAAAGGGAATGGCCTCACCCTTTTGTCGCACCTGCTTTTCCCACAAAACGCCAGCTACTCAGGCTGAAGTACACCTGACTTGCCTCCACTCTCTTTTCTTTGATAGACATGGTATTAATTTAAATTAGTAAAATCCAACTAGTGGTCTATTATCACTGCTGCGTCCTGATTGGTTGAGCTACTACTAGGCTATATGTTATAGCCCACTAGTAGTGAAAAGCGCCGGCTTTTTGGCGGCAAGAAAAGGATTTAAGTCTAGCTTTAACTAGCTAAAGTTGTTTTGTCTCGATATTTTTGACCAACTAGTTGGATTTTACTAAAACAATTATTCCTCTCGCCCTCATGGCCATTCGGGCTCGAGGAATAATTGTTAATTAGTTTTATTTTATTTCTGAAGGTGGCCATCTGGAGGTCTGTCAGCTTCTCTTTAGCTATGGTGCAGATGTCGACAGTCAGGACAATAGAAAAGTTTCAGTCTTAATGGCAGCATTCAGGAAGGGCCACGTCAAAGTGGTCAAATGGCTTGTTAAACATGTCCACCAGTTTCCTTCTGACTCTGAATGTACAAGATTTGTGTCCACACTGTCTGACAAGGTGAAAAACGCGTAGCAAATAAACTTAGACTTCGATTCTTATAAATTAACCGTCCAGTGGACTCTCCATGATTTTTTTTTACTCCCCCCCGGCTTTGTCGCATGAAGCTAGTCTTAAACCTTTCCGCACAGAAAATTGATGCGTTTCCTGTAACTTCGAGAAGCAAACGAGTACTTTTCACCACCTCGTTTTTATCTTTGCGAGTATGCGTCCTGTCGGCATTCAAGTCCTACCATCATGCAGATGTTTTTCCCATGAACCTAGTCTAATGGCCCCACAAGTTAGCCCCCACGAATCTCCTGTAGTTCAGTGGCAAGGCATCTGGTATTAGTTACCAGAAGGTCATGGGCTCGACTTTTGTTAGGAGAACTCAAACTTATCTTTTCCGCGTTATCGGAAAAAATAACTAAGCTTTTTTTAAATGCCTGATTTCTTACAGGAGCTGTTGAACAAGTGTCACAAGAACATGGAAATAATCGTAACAGCCAAAGATCGTCAAGCGGCAGAGGCGAACAAGAACGCGTCAATTCTGCTAGAAGAGCTAGACCTTGAAAAGGAACGGGAGGAGATGAAGAAGGCAGCTGCGGCCAGAAAAAGGGACAAGAAGAAACAAAAGAAGAAAAAGAAACTACAGGCTGAAAAGGAGGCGGAAACGAACGTAAAGAATATGGCTGAGAAAGAAAACAGCGATGACAGTAGTGAACCGGAAAGGAAAATTTCTGAGAATGGTGGTCAGTTGAGTTCATTGTGACATCTCACTTTTGCTTCGTTTTAAAATTATTTATGTATTTGATATTACTCAGCTCAGTAAATACTCTATATACAAGCATTGTGATACGCAGCCAGGTCGAGATGAATACTGGATAACATTTAAACAGAATTCAGAATTCAGCATGGATCGAGAAATTATCACAGCGTACATTGTTGCGTCTTGTTATGAAATAACTGGGTTTGGCGAAATGTACCGTGTTTTTTATCTGTTTCGTACGTGTTTGTTGATTTTTGCATTACTATCGGTTTTCCAGAAGTCTCGAGATTAAAGATACTGACAGGAGCTTTGCTTTAAACAAGTGCTTTGCTCATCTCTCTTTTGTTCCTAAGTTTTATTTAAAAAAAGAGAAAAAAAAAGCGTTGAAATTTGTCGCCGCAAGTTATGTTTTTAGATCTACTTTTCTTAGTTACTTTGTTTTTTATTTCTACAGTCGATACCAATGTCTTAACCCCTCCGCTGAGCACGTCTGCCGTGATTGACAGTAACAGTGTAAGCGGGGTAAGAACAAGGAAGTCATCTACTGGTTCACTGGACACACTCACAAGCATTGCTATTACTGCTGCAGTCACTACAACATCTTCTGTAAAGTACGCTAACACATTTATGATTAGAGACCTTGAAATTCTAGGACGAGAACGACTACAAGGAAGAGATTTGACTTAAGGTTTTTTCGCTCATTTTAAAAAAAATAGACGTCCTGGAAAGCTTCATTAGACTATTTTTCACCAGAAAAGTTAGCACGTTTATTTTTATAGAAAGAGAGTACGCCGTCTTCCCCCGTTGAGAAATGGTAAACCTTCTAGCATTTGATAACTTGTTCCCCCCACTTCGACATTCCCGCTGAAACGAGAAGTAGGATGACGACGGCTACCACCTTTTCCCGCCAAAATGACTCTGGTTCACGCGCGCGCACTGCCTTTAGTACTAGGGACTTTAAGATCCAACGACGCGGACGACAACGAGAACGTCAAAAAAACAATTGTTTTAATTACCAAAACAACAAATTCGCACGTGCATCACACTTTTTTGTACATTTCTTTCCCGCTTTTGAACGACTGCGACGTGAAAATGCCTAATTTCGCGTTTTATGGAGGACGTAAACAAACAACGACAAAATTTTATTTCTCTTTTTGAGCTTGGCTATGGTCCCTTGAAATTCAGCTTCAGGAGGGTTCGCCTACAATTGACAAAGTAAGTGGGTAGGAATAATCGCTATAAAGACTGAAATAACGCAAATTCACTTTTAAGCGACGTTCTTGTGGCCGTCGCGTCGTTGGATCTTAAAGTCCCTACTATTACGAAAATCTCACAGTTGTCGTCGTCGTAGAAGCTCAGGTGTCATTATAGTACCGCTTAAATTAAGTTAACACCCGCTCCCGAGGGGAAAAACGCTGTTCTCGCATCGATCCATTTATCACTTCCTGGCATTCACCATAATTAACAATTATTGTTTGCAGTTCGTTTTTGGGATGTTTGTAAACCCCTAGAAAAATCTACAACATTACTTAAGCGATTTTTTTGGGTAAAGTAAAACACAGTGTACTGCGGGAAATTTGGAACTGGCCAAATCGAAGACAGTTGCATGAAAGAAAAGTAAAAAAAAAAACAAACAAACGCCAATAATTTCATTTTAGTATCCCTTCCAAACAAACCGCCAGGCGAGGTAAGTTAGTTTTGCGCAGAAACGATGGTAGGAAATTTATGGAAAATTTTGGTCTATTACATCTTTTACTTTCTTGCGGCTGCCTTGTCTTTTCGGAAGTAATCAATAGGAAATTGTATATCTCTTGTTTCCCTTTTCAGGTCTAAAGACGTCATCAGCGTTATGAAAACTGCCGAAATTACCAAGGTTGTAGCTACCACCATAATGACCCAGACCACCCCTCACAGTGCACTTTCACCGATCACCGTAGCGACCGCAGCAGCCCAGTGTCTGGCTGTGACCCTTACTACGACCACAGCTACCACTAAGGTGTCCACTTTACCGAGTCCTAAGAAAGGCAAGAGACACGAAGACGGCTGGAAGGAAGTCGTTAGAAGGTAATAAAATGGTATTTCTTTAAGGAACGACATGTGTTCATGCTATGTAGAGAAGATTCGTCTGAGACTAAAGCGTAAAGCCGTAGCAATACAGGTTGCACTTGGTATGAGGAGGAGGCAGAGTGATGATCTGTTATAACCATGATCCCCCTATAGAGCTTTTTCACTTGACGTCACGTCCGTCATATTGGTGTCCCAAAACAATGAAACGGCTGCCATGTTGGTGCCCAAACCAGTCCTGTGTGGAGTTGAACTCTTTTCTCATGTAAAAAAACTTTCTTTTGTCCCAATAAATTTGCATATCTGTTGGCCACGTGGGTGAAAAGGCTTTACATTAACTTCCTTTTCAAGACAGTTCTAGCCCAACCGTATGGTGAAAACGAATACATAGTCTATGCACAGTATTCACGGCCACAATTGTCCTACGAGAAGATCTGTTCAACTGATGTTCTAACAAAACGGTTTATGTATATGCTGTTTTATTCTTAGGTCCAAGAAAATGTCCGTTTCATCGTCCGTAATTAGCCGTGTGATTGGTCGAGGAGGATGTAATATCAATGCCATTCGTGAAACAACAGGAGCCCACATTGATATCGACACAAATCGGCAGAAAACAACTGGCAGCTGTATAATAACAATCAAGTAAGTTGTGCGCTAGCGCAAGTGGCTTCAAGTTATTGCCTTGCGGTTGAAAGACTTTCAAAACTAATTTGCATCAAGTAACAATGGAAACAGAAAGACTCTTTTTAAGTAGCAGAGTACTTGTATTTGACTTTTGTCTCTTCCTTTTGTTTTTGTTTTAATGTTATTGAATATACTTATGTTTTGTTGAGATTATAGATATAGGTTTGGCAGAAGGGTGAAATAACCGTAGGGGTTTAGAGTGTAGTGTAAATTGCACTCCATTTACTTGTTGTTTTACCTAGTTTGAGGTTCACGTTTTTAAGTTCTTTTCATTCTAAACCTCCCTTTTTCAGGGGACCTGCTGATGCTACACGACAGGCACACCAGCTTATCCAGGCCCTTGTCAAAGACCCTGAATGCGACATCAATGACGTTCTTCCTCGAAAAAAGCACCTCCCGTCTCCAACCAGCCGTTCAGCAACTGCTACAACGATTACCACTTCAGTCACATCCACTGTCTCTCATCACAGAACCCTCTCGGAACCCAAACCCAACTCTGTTAAAACGCATTCAACGACACACTCAACGCAAACACGAACCACCTCAAAAACCACGACAGCTGTTAGTCACCAGAGCTTGTCAAATTCTTGGCCATCTACAAATACCACTTCAGCATCGGTTCGTCCGCAGGTGACCACCTCTGTGAGCAGCACCTCCGCTAAGAGTGCTGCTATTACTTCGTCAACTCACATGCCGAGTACAGCGCGCTGGGCGACTACGACACAGACTGCAGCCAGTACCAACAAAAAGGCACCATTGGCGGCTACCCAGGTGACTTCCACAAGCTCCCATCCCATTACTGCCGCTGTTTCTTCGACAACTGCGAGGAAGACGTCTGGTGGGAAAGCAAATGTCAGCGGCTCTTCTGGTTCTGGAGTTGTAAAACCGCCAACTCCTGCCAAGCGACAGTTGTTCCCTGAATCATCGTCGTCTGAGGTGTCAAGACAAGCTACAGTGAATAAAACAACAAGAGTGGTCAAGGGTTCTCCATCATATTCATCGGTTGCAATGGGGGTGACAAGTTCCAGTGGGTCAGTCGATGGAGTTACACCGGTCACATCATCCTCGCCTTTGAGGGCAACAGGACCTGCGATCACGTCCTTGGCTTCTTCCAATCTTCCGCCAGCCATCAGTAACATCCTATCGCACGTTGGTCAGACGCTGAGTCCCAGTGTATGGAATGACATCTCTCACCCCAGTGTGCGACCAAACGTTGGCCCTGTTTCTGATTTAGACCATTCCTCGTCTGTTTCTCCAGCTGATCCCATCACACAGCCCCTGTACATCACCACCCCGGGGGCTCTGTTCACCCCTCTCCCTCACGAGGCACCGTCATCTTCCCCACCCAACACCTCTGGCTCACCAGTTCCCACTACAACACCTACGTCCACTTCTCCCAACTCCTCCCCTCTAGGGACATCTCTTGCCCCTGGGAGTACATCTGTGGTGGAGTCGACTGATAAACCATCCTTGAGACCAATTGGGACAGAGAGAGCATCCAGGAGGATCAGCGCTAGCCCACTCCCCTCAGTGCCGGGGATATCACCTCTAATAGGAACAGGTATAGTCGGGTTTTTCTTGCCGGTGGCCAGGATTCATCTTTCTTTTGATTAGTCGAAGGAGCGGGTCCGAGTATTACAGAGTTTAAGCTTCACGTATACGGCAAACGGCAAACGTCAGATTCAAATTGAGAATGCCTCAAAATAGAAAATGAGCAGATAAAAACGGTTCAAAACAATTCTTGTGGATAAAAAATTGCTTGAAACGTCTAATTTATGTGTAGAAATAATGAACAGTAAACGACAAGTAAAGGGGAAAGTTGATCACGTGGTACAAATTCGTGGTTTGACGTAAACGTGAAGCTTAGCCTCCATTAAGTGCAGTCACAGTGTTGAGCAATACGAAATGTTAAATATCGCCTCTCATCGCTCCCCGAGAGAGATGAAACTTCCCCCCCCATCCCCCTCTCCCTCTCTCCCTATTCCCCTCCCCCCGCTCTCTGAATTAGCGCCGCACTCAACTATCTGAACTTCTGGGACAGGCAGGCTATCCACAGCAACGAAGAGCGATGAAATGTGGCTGTATTCTCAGCTACGTCTAATGCAAAACAAAAAGCTTTTTGCAGTAAGAATCCTCAACATATCGTGTGATTCATCACGTTAGAAACTCAAAATCTCGCACATGTTATGACAATAATAATAATTATTATTTTTATTTTGGCCAGAGGGAACTCAAGTTGCTGGGGTTTGGAGTTATTCTTATGCGCCTGACCCTACACTGTCAACAGGATGGTCAGGTGCTCCCGCTACTGTATCAACAGCGCCCTCGCCTCCTCTTATCAGCGGCAGTAACTCCTTGCCAGGCACAGATGAGGAGCACTTCAGGGTGAATCCGGGTGATACGCTTCAAACATTCTTGGAACGTCTTTCGCTCTCGAGTCATCTCGGTCTCTTCCAGGTAAACGTGCACGTTTCTGTTCACTTAGCTGTTTTCATTACTGGAGACGGATAATCAGTCTTAAAAATCTTTCAAACTTGACAGATTAACAGACGGATCGGATTATTCGGATAATCCGTCTCTGATGTGAAAACGGCTATTGGGAGTTTCCTCCGTTTTATACGAGGCTCGTTTAGTGCAAATTAAGCTGATATGGGTGTAACGTTTACCCTTAACTTCTCGGTATTCACTGAAAGTTCCCACGTTTATTCCACTAGCGCGCGGCGCGTTTGTTTTACTTATGACGTCAAAGTCTGTCACATTGATTCCATACTATATTTTAAATTTCCTGCTGCAGTGACCCCTTGTATGAGAATTATTAGCCACGCATTTAAGCGTAACTGTTTTAAATTGAATATGGATGATTTTATTGCCGATATCTGGACGAACTGTATGCAGCGTACAGTGAAACGTGGAAATACAGGTACCTAGACTTCCATGTAAGTCGGCTTGTGGTCAGTCTAAAGGTAACTCGCTTTGCACCTGTGCAATGAAGTACAGTCAATTCTTCTTACTTAGGACATCGAAGCAGCTGACTGTATTTAGTGGGCGTTTAAGGTGTCCGTTTTACGGAGGTACATGTCCGGAGAGAATGATTCATATGTTGTGAACGGTTTGACCTCGTCTAACTTACTGCGCTTTTCAAAAACACGCGAATTCTGAACTGCAAAAGCCAACTGATGTTAGCGTTTTTCGCTGCGGTCAATCATCTTATGTAGCGGACCTCTTGCGAAACAGAAGTTTACTTCAACGGCTTCAAAAGGTCATGGTTTATGATTTGTGATTGGTGGATTTCGATCCGTTTTGTGTGTTTCTCTGTTTCAAGGTTTCGTTGCTTGTGATCGTAATGTTGATCGACGGCAGCGAAAAATGCATTTGTGAAGGCGGCTTTTCAAACTTCAGAGTTCGCGTGTTTTGAAAAGCGCACTAATGGTTTGTTCATCGGTAGATGTCGTAAACCTTACTCCGCGTCTTTTTTGTTGTTGTTTAGATAATTCCCGGACACGAGATACATAATTTAATTTCTCATCTATTGTTGTTGCTTTGTAGAAAAACGAAATAGACCTGGATGCCCTGTTGTTGATGTCGGAAAAGGACTATGCAGATATCGGCCTACCAAAGGTAAAGAAACAGTTGTGAGTCACGATTTCGCGTTAATTGCATTTGCTGGTTCGGTATTTTCAAACTGCAGAGCTGAAAGTAATTTTCTTTCTAGAAATGTCATGTAATACCAAGTCACCATTTAGGTCCGACCAAAAAGTGCGGCCCGAGCCTATCAAACTGGACGCATTACGCGTTGTTAAGCAAAAATTTGGACTGGTAGGTCGACTGTTTTCTGCTAAGTAGTCACTAAAAATGTTATTTCCTTGGTACAACAAACGCACACCCCCTCAAGGTAGATTTTATTCACCTGCTAAGTAATAGTCTTGTATCAAGATTTCGTCGGATATGGGCCAATTTTAGTCGTAGATGGTCCATTGACCGACTGTTATTTGCAGTTCGCAGACTGACTTTCGTAATTTGTGGTTGCTTTTATCAGGGACCTCGGGTGAAACTGTTGAACAGTACTCGGCAACTTTACACCAGCGACAACCAAGAGTTCAGTGCCGGTCCCCCTGGTCCCTCGCCCAGCACTCGGCCCGTCGGTCGCACTCCCGGCTGGAGTCCTCAGGGGATAATCGCTACATCGTCGCCACCGACAACTGTGGCTGCAGGGGTTCCATACGGGGCGAAAAGGGTGCCGGGACGGAAGGTCGATACGAACAAAAGAGTAAGTAAAAACCTGAAGTTTGATTTCGAAAGTGTAGCAATCTATTCGTATTGTATAACATCGCGTTGACTATTATCGAATCTCCCATTATACACTCTGTTTGCGCCCAACACCACCACCCCCCCACCACACACACTTCTCGTAGGGTATTGGAAAGGTTTAGCGAATGGTAAGCGTCATTCCTCAAATAGGAAATGAGCAGATAAAAACAGGGCAGACTAATTCTTATGGATGAAACTGGCCTGAAATGACTAATATTTTTGAGATCAAATGAACAGTAAACGACAAGTAAAGGGAAAACTTCATCGCGTGGTACAAATTACCGGAACCGTGATTCTAAATCTCTCATATTCTTTAGAACAGGCGCGATATTAATGAGCAAATATTTACGAATTGTGAATAGCGTATAGACTTGCAAATCTGTTGCATATTCAGTTTCTTTTTATTTTCTTGTTTAGGAACAAGGAAGAATTTTGTAAATTTCCCACAAATTTGAATAACTGTTAATGCTATTAAAATATGCTCTCTAACTGCCTTGTGTTTTGCAGCAGGGGTGGAAATCGTGGAGTCGAACAGCGGTTTAAATGTTAGTGGTAAGTACATTTCCATAATTTAATATGTTTGCCTTCTGTACCTATCAACTGTGAGTTAAGGTGGCTCTTTGCGTTTCCTATTACTTAATGCATGTTTGATGACAAAAAAGTGTTTTACAAAGCACACTGTTCGCAATATTTTACCAAAGCTACCGTATTCTCCTTTAAATTCTTGCTAGAAGCCTTTTTCTACGGTAACATAGTTCTCTGGAAAGATCTTCGTTTGCAGCCTCAGGAATTTGACATTTTTGGTTATGTTTGCTTTAATCGTTTGGTTTTTTCTCACCAATTTTCTTTATTTGCAGGGATTGCTACTTAACTTCGACTTTGTTGAACTCTGGACTACAGAGGACTTAAAACAAGGACCTAACTTTATTTTTGGGTTAACTGGAACGATAAATGATGAATAAATCTTATGTTCAATCATTAGCGCGTTGTATTTTAGTCGATTCCCTTCTCATTCCTTCTCTCATATTCAGGGCTCGTACACACACCTTTTTTAGTACACGAGTGAAAGGAGAATTTTCCGCAAGGGCAGGGCTTCAAGTGTCCCTATATTTCCTATATTTCTTATCTTTTAAAACTTTCCCTATATTTCCCTGTTTAGTTTGTAAATGCCCTATAATCCCTATAATTCCATCAGAAAATAAAAAATATACTGAAGTTCATGAACTTCTGTTGGTGGAATGTGACAAAGACAGTGAATTTTTCGGACCATCCGAGACCAAAACTGGTAATGATCTTATTATAAGTGCATGTGAATGTACTTAATTTGATGCTGCTGTGAGCAGTGATCTTTATCCAGATATTGTCCACATTCTAGAAGGAGTATGCCACAACTTTTTGTGCACTCATTTTTCAAACGGAAGAGGATCGAAATCCACACTAAATAATTGGTTGCTTTTTAAGTAGCCAGTAGGAAAATAAGAATTTCTATTCTGTGATGGGCTTTTTAGCCAGCCCCGGAACTACCGTCTTGCCTGATCAGAAAATGGCATTTATGATTAACCGAACAGTCGCGGGCTGTGGAGCTGTAAAATTCAAAAGTATTACCAAAGAAGGAGTTACATGCGATTGTGCTCCACTTCAAAGACTCGCATTATCTACAAAAAAGTGGAGTGTATCAGTCGTACAATTATTCACAGTTGCTTAGTTGGCATAACTTCGAAATAAGCTATAATTCCTTCTTTTTAATGCGGACCTGTAGATCACTCTTCACGAGAATTCTATATCCTGTAAGCATCTCAGCAGAAATCCATATGTTTTTAAAACAGACCAGCTTCTTGCCCTCTTAATGTGAGAGGAGCTCCACAGCATGAGTTACCCGCCAGGAAGTAAACAAAGGTGAAAAAAAAGCGTTTAAACAGGAGGTTAAAGTTGTGTAGGCCCACCAATTTCATCGTTGCACGTAGAAAAAAATTCTAATAGTAGAAAAACACAATAACAGTATTTTCATTGTCCTTAAGGTGGCTCGACTGGATTTTTTTAGGGCGATACCTCCCAAGTTTGAGCCTTAACTACGTCGGCATGAGTAAAGATATCGAAAAAAGGTTACCACAACTGTATTACATAAAGATGAAAATTTCTTAAAATCTGGGTTTTATTGCAATCGGAGTCGCCATGGCAACGTAATGACGCCATTACGTTTTTCATTTATCCTTGTGTTTCTCTGTACCAGGAGTGTTTTGAAGAAATCGCTTAAGGGAGTATGTACCTGCCATAACTGCCTCCAATATGGCAAAGTTTAAAGAAATTCTATGAGAGCGTTTTCGAAATATTTTGAAATACACTTTTAAGAATCATAAAAACAGTGAAATAGCATGCTAGCCGCTCAATTCGCTAATATATTAAGAAAATGATAAGCTTTGGGAACGCGGCTTCATCTCATAGTGGATTGATTCCATTGAAAACTGCATACAAAAAAAGAGGGGAATTGCTCTGGGCGATCGCGAGTAAGAAGAATTTTATTAACTTGCATTCAGCTACTTTTGATACAGTTTTTGGAGGTAATTTGGTCCATGCCTAAAAATTTCGCATTTTTCCAAAAACCGCTCGATAAATTTTTTATAAATTCGACAATTCCGAGATCAATCGTCAAAAATATTCCTGCAAGTTTTAAGAACATTGAAAACAGGGAAGGCTTTTAAATAGGGCCTCAAATATAGTCAATTTTCCCCACAGATTTTGTGTTTACAAGTGAGCGTCCTCATTATTCACTGGCATTGTTTTCAAGTTTCATATACACGTGCACATTTAGCAAAAAGATAGAATTTGCATCAAAAAAGACCCTCGGTTAAATCTTCGGGATATGCTAATTACCGGGTAAAGAGGTTAGTGATACATTATAACATCAGAGCAACTCTTTGTGAGAGTTTCTGTGATGTAATAACCCGAGTAAGATAATTAAGTATTGCATCCTACACGATGAGCCGAGACGTTCACCGTTTCGGCTCTCACTGCTATCTGTGATGACAAGCCAATTATGAGCATATACCGGATATTTCTTCGGAAAGTAATCGAGAGTTCTTTTTGATGCAAATTTATATTTTTGCTAGTTGTGCACGTGCATATGAAACTTGAAAACAATGCCAGTGAATAATGAAGACGCTCACTTGTAAACACAAAATCTGGGGGGAAAATTGGTCATGTTTGAGTCCCTATTTAAAAGCCTTCCCTGTTTTCAATGTTCTTGAAACTTGCAGGGAATATTTCTTGACGATTGATCTCGGAATTGTCGAATTTATAAAAAAATTTATCGAGCGGTTTTTGGAAAAATGCGAAATTCTTAGGCATGGACCAAATTACCTCCAAAAACTGTATCAAAAGTAGCTGAATGCAAGTTAATAAAATTCTTCTTACTCGCGATCGCCCAGAGCAATTCCCCTCTTTTTTTGTATGCAGTTTTCAATGGAATCAACCCACTATGAGATGAAGCCGCGTTCCCAAAGCTTATCATTTTCTTAATATATTAGCGAATTGAGCGGCTAGCATGCTATTTCACTGTTTTTATGATTCTTAAAAGTGTATTTCAAAATATTTCGAAAACGCTCTCATAGAATTTCTTTAAACTTTGCCATAATGGAGGCAATTATGCCAGGTACATACTCCCTTAAGCGATTTCTTCAAAAAACTCCTGGTACAGAGAAACACAAGGATAAATGAAAAACGTAATGGCGTCATTACGTTGCCATGGCGACTCCGATTGCAATAAAACCCAGATTTTAAGAAATTTTCATCTTTATGTAATACAGTTGTGGTAACCTTTTTTCAATATCTTTACTCATGCCGACGTAGTTAATGCTCAAACTTGGGAGGTATCAACCCCAAAAAATCCAGTCGAGCCACCTTAAGGGTCAGTGTGTGTGTATTAATCTGGGGTACATTTTGGCTTGTTCTGTATAAATGTTCAAAATGTTGGACCAAAATTTATTATGTTCCTAATCTTCTGCAGAGTTGTAAACTGGCACTCGATAAAAATCCCTATATCTTCCCTATTACTTTACCATTTTCCCTATATTAAGCCCTACATTTTTGCATGAGGCCGCCTGAAGCCCTGCAAGGGGCAGCATCGCAGAAAAGTTCTTCCAACTGTCCTCCGGTCCGAGACGAAGCTTGCCCTTCTCCATTTTCCCATAACCTAGTCCCTTTACGGCGTCTTCAAAGACCTGCTCGGTAAATGAATTTTGGTGAGGCTCCCCTCCTTTTCTCGTCCCCAGAGCTCGTCGCTTCTTGGTCACGTGGTCTTCAAACGAGGGTCCCCCGACCCTCTTTTCCATTTCTTTTCTCCCCTCTTCTGTTTCGCGCATGTCAACAAAAACAACGTTTAGTTCACAGTATCATTTACATAGATGGTGTTTCATAAGAAAAAAAAGGAAAAGTAATAAAATAGATTTAAAATATATATTTAAAAAATAAAATAGTTAATAACTAGATAGATTCAACGAACTCTTAATTTTCCTTCTCTGGAATCCTTCAAAAATGAATATCCTAGTTTTTTTTACAAAGGAATGAGTCTACATTGTTGAAAGGAAACAATGTTTTATCTATTGTATTGAGATAGTAAAGATAGGGTATTTTAAAGTGATATCATCAAAGAGTTTTCCCCTTGCGCGGCTTTGGAGACTACAATCAAAGATGAAGTGCAATATGAACAGCGTTGACATATTCTAACGTTTTCGGGAATTTTGGGGACGCAGTGTCTACCAGTTTCAGATCTTAAAACATGCAGATTTAATATTATTTGTGCTGTGAGTGTAAAGAGTCCCGTGAGTACCGTAAATGATCGATTAAGCGCCGCTACTCAAACAACCACTGCTCTCGAATAAGCGCCGCACCATCATCGAAAATAATTTAATAAGTGCCTCTCTCTAATAAGCGCCGCGGTACTAATCAGGGTATTTACAAATAAACCACATTTGTTACGGCGCTCGACCAACTCGTGAGTTCTATAAAGTTTTAATGTAACTGTGTTCATATAACAGTTCAAGGTGTACATACTTGTGTTAATACTTTAAACTTGCGCGTACCAAGTACGCGCCTCACTTACGTAATTCTCTCAATATAGCCCTCAGTGTTTTACCTGTAGTTGAAATAATTATAAGCACCGCTCTTGTCTAAGCGCCACACCTATAACAGGGAAAATGAAATAAGCGCCGTGGCGCCCAATCGATCATTTACGATAGACAAACTTTTGATCGTAAATGTGCCCTTCAGTTTGCATGTGCTTTAAGGTATGATTTTGTCATTTTTCATCCCTTCAAGACGATTTCTGTCCTTGATATATGTCGAGATCTCGATTGATCAAGGGGAGATCTCGGATCCGAAAGCGGGAGAACGTTAGAACCTGCCTTTTTGTAAAAATGCATTGTAAACACAATATAAATCTTACCCGAGAAATAAGGTACAAGCTGTCGAGCCAGCCAAGCTAACCGAAGTGGTTAAACTCATATAAACAGACCGATAGAAAGGTCATAAAACATCCAAACTTTCAATGTTCTACCTTGGATGCCTTCCCACTCCTACCAAAAATTTTTCATTAGCTCGGGGGTTGATACATTAAACGTCAGCGAAGAAACTGGGCACTAGGATTACAAAAGCATTTTTATAATTTTTATAATTAAAATTCATCCTTATTGTCCAGCGGGGTTTCGTAGTGTAGTGGTTATCACGTCTGCTTTACAAGGTTATCTTGAAGCCGCAGAAGGTCGCCAGTTCGAGCCTGGCCGAAACCACTTCTTTTTTTTCTCTTTCTAGGCTGAGAAAAGAAAGGATTTTTTTGGAGCTGAGGAAGGACAAAAACTAACCTACATTTTTTTTTTCAATTGCGATATACCATCTAATAATCTAGATTTCTTTCTCGAATGCTCTTTTTATAACATTGTTTTGGTTCACAAAATTATAGAGAAAAATGTTTTTCTTCTTGCATGTCTTATTCCTTGAAACAGACCCGAATACAGTAGAAGAAATATGACTACAAAAAGGTTGTTGACTTGAGAAAGTGCGATTGTTGAGGTACATACAAATCCGATCATATTCGAATAATTCATACGGATCGGTTCTGGATGATAATTCATTTTTTCATCTAGTGTATAATAGCACTATTTTGTATGAAGCCTTAGTTTTAATTTCTTTCTCATAATTTTCCGTTTAGTAAACCAGAAGAAGCGGAATATCTTGAGAAGTTTACCATCTATCGATCGGAACGATCTGTTGTTCGATCAAATGCGGTCTCCTTTCAAAATAATTGGCAGGCTCATATTCCGCGGGAAAAAGGCTCGGCTGCCGCGTCGCGCGGTTGAAAGAAGAGCTGCTTCGCCGACGTTTCTGCCTTTGCACGAGTGCACAAAAAGCTGTTCTTTATGTTTCACAAGGTCAGTGATAGCTATGGTTTTTGCTTAAGTAACGCTTGTTTCATGTTCCAAATCGTCTTTTCTGTCACAGAATACATTTTCTCCCTTTTCCTGAGGATTGTTTTTAAAAAGCGACGGATGCTGGTCGTTGAACCGGCCGTCAGCTTGCATATCACATTCATCGTTCATTCACTTATTATTCGTGGCAAAACATGCATCAGAAATGACCAGTATTTGTACTGTTTTCGTTCTTTGTTGTCGAACATACGACAATTTTTTATTTGGTAATGGTAACAATGGTGTCTTTAGACTCTTTGTTGCTTTTTGGCCGGGGTCAAGAGTCACTGCTCCATCGCTAAATTACCAAACCACACAGATTCCCATTGATCCAATAAAGCATTTTGTTAAGAAATTAGGGCTAGGAGAAACGTTTAATGGTGTTCATTTATCTGTATCGTTGTGGTTCCTGAACTCTAACCTGTGGAAAAGTGACCTGTGTTTTAGATCCGCCGTTTTCTTTTTAACTAACTTTTTATGTTTGATTTCTTTCAGTGACGGAAAATTTCCAAGTACGAGCGTAAAGTGTTGCAACTACTCAGCATTTATTAGCTTAGAAATTTTGACTTTTTCACGGCAGGCAGTGGTTAAAGAGCAAAGGAGTCCAAACAAAGAAGTAAGTAAATTTGAAGTTTGTTCGGGCATCACAGATAGAGAGCTTTAGATTTGAGGACGAGTACGACTTCGGGATTTTACTTGAGCTTAAAGTGTTTTCGCGTATTGTTGAAAAATATTCAGCCCGGGAAGCTTCATTGTGCCTGAAAAGGTAGTGCGGTTATTTTTATTGGAGAAGGTTATAGCCCTTTTCTGATTGAAAGATGAGTATATCTTCTTACATTTGATAACTTGTTCCCGCCTCTACGACATTCTTCGCTAAAACTCGAAGTAGAATGACGACGGCTACCACGTTTTCCCGCCAAAATGACGTTGGCTCTAGGCTTTTGTACATTATTCCCCACTAAAATGCTCCACCTTAACGCGCCATTTTTCCCACTAAAATGCTCGGTCTCCCCCAAAAAGTCACTAAAATGCTTGGATAATGCTCATTATACAAACGGTTTTTTTAAATTAATTTCAAAGTTTACGCTCACGAAAACGTGCAAGTGTTGCGAGTAACAACGACAACTTGTACAAGTTCATAAATACAGCCAAAAAAACAGCTGTATTAGGTTTTTTGTGAATTTTGAGTTTTAGTCTTCATTTTGTTTAAAAAAGCAGGAGCTCATGGGGCATGAGCTCCTGAAAAAAGTTAATTTCTGTTTTATTTTCTCGGAAAAATTAATTTTTCAGGGAAAATGCCACTAAAATGCTTGAATAATGCTCAATGCTTTTGCGTCACTAAAGTGCTCGAAAAAATGCTAGCATAATGTACAAAAGCCTAGTTGGCTCATGCGCTAGCACTACTTTTCAGGGCGGAAAAACGTGATGAGCATGCGTGAATTTTTTGCCCAGATCTCCCGGCTGGGTTTGAAAAAATGGCGGGATTTCATGTTTCCACTCATAACCTGGAAAGAACAGGCAATTTGTCTTCAAAAGTTGCAAGCTGTGGTTATAACCTTGTTGTTACTTAATTTTCTCGAAGAGTACCTCATAGTAAAACAGACTTTAACAACATTAATTTCCTTGCGTTGTACTGGAAATGTGCTTGCGTAGGTGGGATTTTTTTCAAGATGCATTCACAAAATGTGTTCATATAAGGAAGTTCCTGGATATATAAGGTCCGGAGCTCCACTGTGGACACAAAAACGACATATCTTTGGACAGTGATTTGACCCAAAAAAATTAACGCTTGCCCGCAATGTGTTTGAAGTCACAGAACTTTGCAGCACTCGAGCTGATATTTTAAAACCCTAGCTCGATCGGACACTCGTAGTTTCGCAAATCACCAAAATATAAACAAAATACTCAATGTAGTAGTTATTGCGTTGATATGTGGGCAGAAAAAAGGTCAGTCTTTATCTAGTAAAATCTTCCCAAAAATCAGTTTCAAAGCAACTATAGTTTTTTTAAACTTGCTTGTTTCGCTCAGATATATAAAATTTTGCTTTGTGTTGTCAAGTTGAACTCGCATAACATCTGTCAAAAACCTACGCGTAAGTAGGATTTCCTTCAAACAAAGTTAAAGTTACATTATTTCAAAAACTTCTTGCTGACAATGAAGAAATGAATTTTCTGTATGAAAACAACCTACCTAAAGATTAAAAGCAAAAGATCAGTTGCAACTTGGCAGCCAAGCCATGATTCACCATTTAGCTATTTTAAGCTTAACTGGTCCATGCGAGGGTCTTCGTTTAAGGAAATTAAACTCAGCCGATCATTATAGAAAATACAGAAAATTGCACATAAGGGTTTGTTTTGCTCGCCTCAGTCAAACCCAGCTGCAGCAATTGTTTACGGGAAAAGAGTCAATTGTTTTGAAGTCACTGCTGGCAGTTGTCGTTCTCTCGGGCTTCACAGCGTGTGAAAAGGACAATTTGGGTAAAGAAAGTTATTCTTATAAAGAACAGAAACTTTCACAGTGCACTGGAAAACAAAACTGTGTGATGAAAAATGAAAAAAACTCTGACTACTATTACTTGAACAACAGAAAAATGATCCTGAGTAAGCTTGCTGGCTTTCTGTTTCTGAGAAAAGTTTAATAAGCGCACAAGTTTGTTCACTCTGATGCATTATAACAGCAATAATTATGGTTCTTTGACTGAAGACGAAGATAAAGCTGGTTCTGCAAAGGTAATAAATCTAGGCGTGTAAAAAAGTAACCGTAACTACTAATAACAGAATACAAGCGGGTTTTAATTCAACCCGGCGAAATCAACTCATAAATTAATCGGATGCACAATAATCAGAAAAAAAACTTGCCTCTTTAAAAATGTTCAAAACCTTTTATTCCACGTCAGACTGACAAAATGATCCGTTTTTCCGTTAACATTGGTTGTTCTGAATCCAAAGTAATTTTCAAGCGACGAAAAAAAAGCAAACATGTCAAATAAAAATGCTTTACGGGGAGGAAACGTTCGCACCTCGTGCACTTCACTCAGAACTACAGCAACAAACAAACACAGTCAACACACAGAAAAGCCCGCCTTGAGCCTGCGATAAGGGATGTGCAGAAGCTTGCGCAGAACGTTTTTCCGCCCTGAAGCACTACTTACCCCTTGGTAGCCTGTTCCAGGCTCCGAGATAGAATCGTGCTTACTTGGTCAATTTTTGTTTATCTAGCAAATTCCTAGCTTGTTACAAATTGCCCGACCAAACTTGACATTGCTTGCTTGCTTAATAAACAAAGTGGAGTTGCCAAAGGAAAGAGGCGTGGGTCCGCCGAGAAAGTTATGAAAGAATTGGCCCCAGAAAGCTACCTGCAGGAGCCAAACATGACTCTGGAAAATTTAAGGTTTAGGTAAGATTGGGTGGTTCACGGAATTACGATATCTACCACTATCTAGTCTGAAAGGGTCTAGGTCTGAGTGAAAGGGTGACCGCACATGTCCATATACCAAAGTCGCGGCTACAAGAAATGTTTTTAGGATGCTCGTATACATTTCGTAGAGAGATGAACTTGATACTCTGGATGCAAAGTACTGCTTTTTTTTTAAATGCCAAATTATTTTTCCCTCTAAAGAGGAAAGACGAAAATGAGCAGCTTCTCCTCACTCTTGTGTTTTGTTATGAGAAGCAAGATGCCATCAACAAATCACACAGGTTAGATTTTTCATGTAAATACTGTATATTTCTTGCCACTGGATATGGTATAATACAATACACAGATCAGCTGCTGGGCTTGAAGATTTTGCGGACACTGAATCCGATCATAACCCGCAAATCGCGATACATTAATTATTCAATCATCTGACATGTAGCTTTTTTTCATCAATCACTAAGTTGTAGATGCCCATTCCAATTTGCACCGTTAAAGAAAGGCTCCCCGTGCAACACAGTGTTTCCTGTACTTGGCAGTACGGGGAGCCTTTCTGCTACAGCCAGAAGAGGCTTTCCAGACCGGAAACTTCCAACTGAAGGAGAAGGCCAAGAAATGGCCTCTGATGTGCCATACAGACTCGTCAAGTGGCACGATTCAGGTAAGTATAAAATCAGGCGATCCGTGGCTCTCTCCTTCTCATAAAAAGTCACGAATTGAGTTATCCTTCTACATACCTTCTGTAATATACATTTATAATTTATTTTAATGAAGATTGCTCAGCATGGATGACTTTATAGTGTGTTTTGTTGTGTTTTTCAACGGCCTTTTTTAATTTGGTACAGCTTCAATCATTGTGAGTCAGGATTCAACACTGATAAAGACTGCTGGTTAAAGGAACACTACCTTAAAACGTTGTAACAAACTGTGCAAATTGTATCTTTTAGAATGAGACCCCCATCTGAGAGATGACGAGCAACTTTAAGCGGCTGGTAAAGGAGGCGGGGTTCGATGCACGAAAGATGAGACATCATTGTAACAGACTGGTGAGCAGAATAATCCCTATTGTAACGTTGACGAAAAAGGGTTGAGAAGCTTAAATCAACCCACGTTACCAAGACGACACGCAAGTTTGGGCAAAAAATAAGTTTATTGAGCCAAGCGGAAACTGCTGATCGATAGCTTGACAATAAACCTAAACGCAACTAAACTGAAAAACGCTTAGACTACAATATGATTATTAACTTCATGAAGATCATAAGAGATTAGGGAGGGAGAGGTGGGTAAGAGCTTACACCTCGTCTCCGGATCTTACAAAAGATGTCCTTGCGGTCTGCACAGTCGATTATAAGAGACATTCGATACCTCTATAACCAGTTACTTAACCATCATTAATGAATGATTTCTCAATCAACCCAGCTTAACCCGCCTGCTGGTTGTTCGGTGGAGTAATACTGCTGGAAGGCCAAGAGTTATTGTGTGAAGTCTCGTAAGGTGAGGATGATTGAAGGTCAGAATGGCGAAAAAAGGTCGCTGCCTAATCGTTAATTGCTTTAGTATCGTGCCATTCTAAACGTCGTTGCTCTACTTGCTTCACAACAAACTTATGAAAGGCCCGCACGCTGGACCATGAATAACTAATAGCTTTAATCATTAAAAGCTCGAGGTGCGCCAAGAAAGCCTCTTTCAGCTTCGCATCATAGGTCTTCATCATGAATAAAAAGCCTGAAACAAACTCGGAGAGATTTAGTTTATCATACTCACCTTGAATGCTTGGGACGAAATCGTGAGGCCAGTCTATTGATATCTTGACCCGTCATTGCGCGGCTGGCTCGTTGACTTCCTCGGTGAAACCTTCGAGCAAGTGTTCTTGGGGGCGTTCCCGGTGACTCAAACTGAGAACTTTCAGTTCCAACTCAAGCTTTTCTTTTTGAAGCTGTTGATCGTAAGTGAGAAAGGATGCTGAATCCTCTGGAGAGATTGGCGGCGGAGAGGCGGCAGGAACCGTAGCTGGTTTGGATTTTGAGGTTTTGGACTGCTTTGCTGACTGAACATGCTGAAGCGTATCGCCTTTTTCCTCTAGATCAAAATCCTCGTGAAACAACGAGCTCGGAGGAAAATCGTAGAAAAACTCAGGATCATATGCTTTCTTGGATTGACGTTTTGGACAGGCGCCTGAGGAGCGTGCCATTCTAAGAAAAGAGCTTGGAGAACAAATCGACATGGAAAATAAGAGCTTACGCCTCGTCTCCGGATCTTACAAAAGATGTCCTTGTGATCTGCACAGTCGATTATAAGAGACATTCGATACCTCTATAACCGGTTAATTAACCATCATTAATAAATGATTTCTCCATTATCAACAAACCATCAACGATTTTAACATGTCTATTGATGGGACAAACAAGAAATAAATGAAGATAGGTTGTTAGGTTTACTCTTTCATTGTTATACAATGATTATGGTCAGCACTCACAAACTACAAGTATTGTGGCAAATGCTATATACACTGTCAGTTTTCTGAGTCGATTTATATGTGGAAAGTAAGAAGTTAAAAAAAGTGCGTTTCATCAGAATTACTTACACATGTCGAACACATGTTAATTCAGCTGGTCCTTGAGTTATATGTAAAAATCAGCCCAAAATTTCCGGCCCAAGCTATACATTTTTATACATTGGGTCATTATCTTTGTTGTAGGGGATGGCCACCACTTTGATGATAAATGAATGTGTGAAGAAGAGCGACGTGTTCCTGCGTGAAAGTGTGGCCACATTATGCCTGCTGGGCAGGTGGTCCAAACAGGATGGGACTTGGGCCCTTTATGTGAAGGATGTTTATGATAAACATCTGGATGGAAACTCCTTCTTATATCGGTAAGGTTTATATGGAATGAGCTCTCTCAGTTTCATTATTACCTCCAACAAATGAATAGAAAGTATACATGCAAAAGTCAATGGGGTAAATATTATAATGTATTAGGTAATCATTTAGGGTACAAAACAGTGAAAGGGAAAAGAACAATATATATGCTGAGGAATCATGTAGATTTCCTTTTCATGAATTGGATGCCTCATTTCTCAACAGGAAATCAAAATGTCGTCTGTCAACTCTGTCTAATTCTCCAAGAAATTATTCGCGAGGCAGAAGATAATGTGCACTTTCTTTTTATGGTTGATGTCCATTATGAAATCAAGAGACTCAATTTTCCGATTTTTTTGTTTATCTTTTGTCTCATAGAAATTTAAGACCAGCGGAAGCACACTCCAAATATCTGCGGGATGTAAAGTCACACTACAATAATTTTATTATAGGTTGGTTGATAAGCCTGAGAACCAAGGAAGACTGTGAGGCAGTGGAGGGTTTCAAACCCTTTTATGACAACTACAAAGATGACGTGCTGGGTTGCAGCTTCGGAGCAGCTAAAAAAGGTTAGTTTCAATAGCTTAGTCATAGTCATAGAAGGATTTGTTGATGCATACACTTTGAGATGTTACACCACTGTCGACCTGTAGACAGATGATAGGTTTTGGTTGTTTTACAGATTATAGTCTTTGAATGGTCGTAATTCCACTTCATATATTTTATGCATTGGTTTTGCAGTGTGTCTTAGTTTTCGTAGTAACAAAAACTAAGAGGGGTCTTTGTTTTCGAAATTACGAAAACTAAGACCCCTAAATTTACTGTTAAATTTGACCTTAAACTCGGTGGAAGGAATCGGTGGAAAGAATGCCAAGCTGTGTTTCTTCAAATTGACAATCACATGAAGAAACATGATGTTTACCCATCACTACAATCTGCCTACAGAATTAACCATTGTACAGAAACAGCTCTTTTGAAAGTTACTAATGACATTCTGATGGAAATGAATTCTCAGCATGCTGTTCTGCTTGTGTTACTTGACTTGAGCACTGACACTGTTGATCATAGTATTTTGTTGCATAGACTGGTTTGGTTTAAGTCGTTCTTGTCAGCAAGAAGTCAACGTGTTTCCATTCCCGGCGCCCTCTCTGACAGTCTTCCTCTTGACTGGGGTGTCCCACAAGGGTCCTGTCTTGGTCCATTGTTGTATATTATCTACTCTTCAAAGCTATTTAACATCATTGAACGTCACCCTCCAAATTCTCACTGTTATGCGGATGATTCACAAATATATTTGTCCTTCAAGCCCTATGACTTGTCAATTCAACAAGATGCTATAACTGCCATACAAAATTGCATTGATGACATTCGCTCATGGATGGAACACGACAAACTCCTCAGTGATGAAAAGACGCAATTTCTTGTCATTGGCACCCGACAACAGTTATCTAAAGTTAATATTTCTTTGATCACTGTGGGAAACTCTGTTATAACGAAATCATCAGTTGTTAGGAACCTTGGCTCGTACATTGATGACAAGCTGTCAATGAACTCCCACATCAACAAAGTCTGTAATGCATCATTTTACTATCTCCACAATATTAGGTGGATAAGAAAACACCTATCGCGTCACTCCTCAGAGACTTTGATTCATGCGTTTGTCTCCAGCTGATTAGATTACTGTAACAGTTTACCCTATGAATTGCCACAGCAAAACGCAACTGCAAGGCTTATGTTTGAGCAACCTAAGTTTTGCCATATAACACCAGTCTTATCTCAACTTCACTGGCTTCCTATCAAGTATTGCATTGAGTTTAAGATTTTACTTATGACTTTTAAAGCTATTCATGGCATGGTACCAGATTATATTATTTGCAAATTGCTCAGCCAAAGGAAATCAACAGGATATTCCCTCAGATCCAGCAAAAAAGTTGTGCTTGAGGTTCCATGCAGTGAGATACTCCCAACACTTGGTGGTACAGCGTTGTGTTATGCGGCCCCAAAGCTCTGAAACAACCTGTCTAGCAAAATATCCAGCATTGACTCTGTCAAATCTTAAATGTCATGTGAAAACATACCCTTTTAAACAAGCTTTTAATTTGTAGTAGAGTATTTGTTTTGTCTATTTTATTATTTATCACTTATTGTCATTTTATTTCATTTTGAAATCTTGCTACCTGTTTGTAAATTTTATTCAATTTTAGTCTTTCTTTTTAACTTATTGTAAAGTGCATTTGATCATATGCCATGGAATGTTGTGCTATATAAGTTTTACTTATTATTATTAATTATTATTACATGGATAAAGAACTGAACGAATCACACTTGTGATGAACACGGAACGTGGCAGCAACTCGCCTGCATGAGCAGATCCTAAGCAGTATGATTAGTCACCAAGCAAATTGGTGACATCTTCTTACCTTGCAAACTTACTTTACCACTGCACTGCTGTAGTAACATCTGGTAGAAGTAGTTTAAACTGTTTAGATTGCAGCTATGAACAAGGTAATTTAACAGACCTCTCCTTGCCTCTTTGATACTGCATCCCAGCACTTGTCAAAATTATTAAACTGTCTAGGAATTCCTGGATCCTAATGTGCAGTCCTTTTTGCAGGTTACATTTGATTTGGATTTAGCACTCATCAGAGACAAGCAAAATGAGTATGAGACAGCTAACCTGTACAGACTGTAGGTAAGAGATAATTCACAGACCAACTATTCCATAATGCAGAAGCAACTTCTACTTTAATTGTATTCTTATTGACTTGAACTTAAATGTTACATGTGTAAGTCAATAAAATTTGAATATTGTAAATAAATTAGTACATGGATAAATGTTGTAGTTTGAAATGATTTTTAATTCAAAATGATTTCAGCAGAATTACCAAAATACATGTAATATTTCTGAACTTGTAGAAAAAGTATGTTTTATAATTATTGCTAAGCTGGTCCATCTGCGAGCCATGCAAATTGTGTGCGCTATAAGCAAAAATAACTGTTTGCCTTTGATGGTCATTGATACTCTGTGGTTGGTGTATCTGGTGTATCTACACATTTGTACAAACCTCATTTAATCTCTTGGATTGCTTCCAAAAACTACTTCATAAGAAATCTTTGCCATTGCTCTGTATTTGGTGATGTTTGTCCCAGAGGTTGCTTCCTTTCTAAATTGACATCAGTGGTTAGGTGACATGTTTTTCCCTTTATGACGTGGGAAATATTGGCTGGCTGCCAGCTAATTTCACTGGCTGAAAAAGAACTTACCGCTAGTGCAAATTGCCTTGGAAAACAAAGACATGGGGTACTTTGAGGGTGCAATTGAGTTAAAAAGCTGGTTAGGCTAATTAAAAAACCTGTTTAGCTTTTACCATGGGCTGGGTTGAGCAAGAAATTACTAAAATAGCAAAAACAATGGTCTATTTATCAACCATAACATAATCATCCTGGCAATGGCCATTTTCAAAATATCAAAATGGAGGTCAAGACAGAGGAAGAGTATTGACAAAATTTCTGGTTTGTAATAATAATAATAATAATAATAATAATAATAATAATGGGTTTATAGAGCACTTTTTCTCCAGGATTCAAAAGCGCTGTTTACAAAGAATAACTAATTCAAATGAGAATAAAAACAATGAAAAATTTGTACAATACAAATTAAGAAAAACTACTTAAAAAAAGGTAACGCTGGGAACAAAGAAGAAGTAATAATCTATGTATAAAAAGCACGTTTAAAAAGAAAAGTCTTCAATCTACTTTTAAAACTGTCAATAGAACTGGAATTCTTAATGTCTTTGGGCAGGCTGTTCCAAAGTTAGGGTGTCACAATGGAAAAGGCACGCCAGCCATAAGATCTGAAATTGAATTCACGGGTACCAAGTAAGTTATGACCTAAAATCACACACTGGATGGTACCATTTGATCAGATTGTTGGTGTAAACAGGAGTGAAATCGTGGAGGGCTTTGAAATTAATGAGAAGAAGTCTTGTTTTATCGCCCCCTTTATAATGCTTTCTTTTTCTGGGAACAATGAGCATTTACAATGTACTGTGAGTCTCACATCCAGCAATGGAGCTGCTGGTAATGTCTCTCTTGTTGGCACCTTTGGAGCCTCTGCAGCAGCTGTCTGTGTTTGATCAACTGCAAAATCCCATATCAGCAGCATGCTGTGTTCATCACTCTCCTAAGGATCGATCCTAAATCCCTAAAGTTGGAGAACTGGACCGAAGAAACATATTTTAACTAAGGTGCTCGATTCAACAATGATAACCAGGTTGACTTGAGACCTTCAAGTGCAGTTACCTGCTTAGAGGTAGAATGCACATCTGTCTTTCCGATGGGAAGTCAATGAAACTGAAGTGGGTGAATAGCCCATCAATGGAAAGAAACGGTAAACTTGGCACAGTAAAATAAGGAGTATTCAAAAGGTCACAAGAGGGAAGATATGCGGCACTCTAGCTTTTAAACAAGTCAGCCTGTGCCTCTTGCATCTCGAAAGCACCCATCTATCTCACTACTGAGGTCAGGAGTTGTGATGTCTATCGTGTTTGGCTTTAGATGAAGCAAAACAATGTTTTGTCCCATGAACTTATGTAGGCTGTGTCTTGTGCTAATATGATTCCTAGTTTATCCTGCACTTTATAGTGAAAATAGGTAAACAGGCTAGCAAGTTTGCAATTTCATTTTTTATACTTTTACAGGGTTCATACAGGTCATGGAAAACCCTGAAAGTCATGGAATTTAATTGTCAGTCCGTGAAAGTCATGGAAAATTAAATTTTTTTTGATAGATCAGTTAATGCAGATGACAAGGCATGGACAACTGAAGATAACAGTGCACACCTTATGCATTTTGGTGGACACCAGAGCTTGTGTCTGTTGAACTGTTTAAGGTCAAAAAATACCCTAAAACAAGGAAAGTTTTGAAAATTTTCGAAAGTGACAGCTAAACCTAAGGTTATGGAAAACTTGAAAAGGGCATGGAAATGAAAAGTCATGGAATTTGAAGAGCTCAAACGTGAACGTACCCTGTGTTAGAAAAAAGAATACGTTAGGAACAACTAAGAAAGTCAGCTGTTCTGTAATTTTTTTTTCGCTGATGTTTGCAGAGAGAACGTTCTTGAGTGATTTTCATGTTATATACCCCTTTTTCTTAAGGTATTGTGTCTGTGTTTAGTCCTTGTGCCATGACAACCCCCAAAGGTGAAAATGGAAGTATCATGGTGTTTTGTCCCGCCTCAAACCCTGTGGCTTTCAATAATTCCACTGCCTGGAGTTCACTGATTATTTCCACAAGGTTAACAAAATCAGGAGACTCATTAAAATTTGGTATTCATCCAAGGAAACTAAGATAGTATCATGGTTTTTTGTGCCGCCTCAAACCCTATTGCTTTCAACGATATCAGTGTCTGGAGTTCACTGATTATCTGCACAAAGTTGAGACTCATCAAAATTTGGTATGCATCGTGGAAAACTAAGAAAGCGAGCTACCTGTTTCAACTTAGAATTGATCATGAGGTTCGTTTGCAGCAAGGTTTGCAGGTTCAGTTGTGTCATTAAAGGGAGTTGGATCAACAGAAACGACCACAGTTGTACTAGCAGAAGAGGATGTGGAATCATTGCTGGTTTGGGCCTGTTTTTGGAGAGGCTTGGAAGACTGAGCTTCGAGTGCAATGTGGTGGGTCGAAGCCTTTTCTGTGGACTTGGATTGTACCAAGCCATTCAATTAGCTGTTCTTAGGAAACTGCAATGGGTAGTGTTTTCTGAGCCAAAAGGAGGTGAAGAACTTCATTCATGAGGGCAGAGTATTCCATTGTTGCCATTAACTTTGCGTTAACCTTATAACGCAAGCTACCTGTTTTCCAATTATAATAATTTCTTATAATAATAATTATGGCCCGTTTTAGTCCACCTGATTTGACCAGAGGTCTGGTTATATCACAAGAGGTTGAAACAAAAGTTGTGCAGGTCTCACAGGAGCTATGATCCACAAAGTTGGTGGCTGTTAAAAGATCCTGCTATATGGGAATTGATGTTTAATGAGAATCTGAATTTAAAATCATGGGTTTTAACTCTTGGTTTGCACTCAAACCAGAGACGTTGTAAAAGCCCAAAGCTTAACAGTGAATAGCAACTTTTGAGGGACTCTCTTCTCCAGGTCTTCTCTGTAGACACCCTCTAAAAGTTATATTGGAAAAGGAAAAGGTTTGGCGCAAAATATATTGATTACTACACTTGACAAGGGCACAACAAAAGATTTTCAAAGTTCTCTTTTATAGCTCTTCATGTTTTTAACAGGACTAATGCCAGAAAACAAAGTACGCACATCAGACAAAAAAGAAAAGAAAAGTATATTTACCTTTACATTATCTTTCACAACTGTGGTTTTTTGAAAGGTCTTCTTGAACCTGCAACCCCCCAAAAAGAAATGATAATAATAGTAATAAAAAAAATAATAACAATGATAATAATGATGATGATGATGATAGAAGTGCATTTAAATAATAATTTACTATTACTATGTATTTATTTATGTCGCGGTGGCTATGGAGATTGACTACACCCCCAAAATTACTTGCACGGTGGCGGTAGCTATGAAGCTCACTGTTGGAATTCCCAGCTGTAGGGGTGGCTGATTATCTGATTCGAAGGAGACAGAGCACCTGATCCTGGGCTGATCCCCTCTAACCTGGCTTGTTGCACTTGTGTGCATAGGGGCAGGGGGTCCCGGCACATGAGAAACCCTTGCTGAAGTTGTGGCAAGTACGATATTCCCTCTAACTGTACCTAGCATGGATGAGGGTCCTGACTGGAAAAAACCAAGTTCTTCCTTCATAAGTGAAGGGGCAACAGTAACCGTTTTAAGCCATAGTTGGATATCTGTTGTCGACCACTTGAACTTGACATCATAAACACACCAGCCTTGGCTGTTAGCCTTATTTAGCTGCATACCGAATTAAGGAAAGGTATTCTAACAATTCTGCAGCATGACTTGGGTGCTTGCTGATAATAACACTCATATAAGCTGTAAAAGCCGAGGTCCACTCCTCTATGTGGGTTATTGAAGTGGCCTTGGCCTTATACCCCAATAACTGAGTTCTCAAGAGTCAGAGTGAGAGGCTAGTCATGGAGAGGCTGTAGTGAATTAAAGTTCTTTGGTAACAATTTGGAAAGTTCCATAAACTCACCTGAGAGGATCTCCTTCACAAGCTTTGGTGGGGGTTTGTGTACTGAATCCAAAATCTTGTTGGGATGCAGAGGAAATGCTGTTGATATCATTCCCACTTGCACCATCAACAGCAGTAGCATTAAGGGTTTCTTGGACTTCAAAAGGAACGTTGCCCTCACTCAACGCGTTTCTCTCAGGAACAACAGCTTGAGAAGACGACGAACAACCAGTGAAGGTGTTCATTGCAGGTTGGGCAGCTGTGGCCGCTGTCAGGTCGATCGTCTTGTTGATGGTTGCTTGGACCTGAAGGACTTAAACTTGGGTCAACTGGCTCTCAGGCAGCATTCTTTTGTCCAAAGAGTTGAGGTTTAGCAGGTCCTGGACTTGTTGTTGCAACTGCTGAAACTGCTGCTGGAGGTTGGTCTTCCGAATAAAGGTAAAGAGTCAATCTTTCCTTGTACCACAACAAGAAGTTCTTCAGGTTCTCTGGTTTTGTTTTCAATTGTGACGGTGCACTCGCCCATGATTGGAAGGTCATCGTTGAGTGCCGTCAACTTTATCTTGGATTCTTGAAGTGCTATTTCCAGTCTTTGTGTTTGTAGTTTTCATCAATGATATTTGTGTCAGCGCCGGTATCTGGCTCAATTGTGGCTTCTATACCATTCATGAAAATCGTGCAGGTCTTTTGAATGCCTTGACTCGCTTTGTGTATCTTTAAGTGTATTTGTCTTTGCGGATCGCATCTCGTTCGGGAACCGTTCAGATAGCGGGTTTTGCCTTAAGCTTGCTTGGGTAGAGGTTTGCATAGTGATTTCGTTTTCTACATGCGGTGTAAACAGCACCGAGCAGCAACCAAATGGCTTTGAAACTGGGTTTTCTTCGATGCGTTTGACATTTTTTCCTACGTTAGAAATCTTCTTTTCCATTTTGGTCGCTTTGTGGTTGGTCTCTTCGTCAATAGCGGGTTCATTGAGGATCTCTTGAAGGCAGAAGGGTCCAGCCTTGGCGAATGGCTTTAACTCGAATTCTTCCGTTACGCGTTGTTTTAATTAAATGGTCTCGGATGGCATCGTTTTCATCGTGATATTCGTATTTTTTGGCGATTTCTTGTACCTGAGCGAAGTAGTTGGCAAGAGATAGGTCTTCTTGTTGTTGCAGATTACCAAGTTGGAATCTCGCATAATCTTTGTTTTTCTTTGGGAGAAAGTATTTGTCCAGCTTTTGGATGAATTTCGTGTAGTCATCTGCGGGTGGGTGTGTGGTTTCCAATCTGGTAAAGAGTCTTCTAGATCGGCACACTGTTCAGATAACACGCCAAAAGGAGAAAAGATAAAAATCTGTACAAAACAAAATGATATCATATAATGATATGACTAAAGCATTATAAGTAGATTAAATCAGTGTGCAACAGCCTAAATAGAAAAGCTTCTGAGGTGGCTGTTGCTTATTTACAATGGTCAAAAGTTTTAATTAAGATTAGACTTATAATTATTTACAAGTCAAGAGTGGTTATGAAAATAATAAAAATGAATAATAATTTTATGACTTATAGTGCGTGTGTTACATGGAGATATGCTCACACGTGCATTACACTACAATGATTACAATGAAACATAGTGGTGTATATGACAGTATATAAAAAATATGAATAAAACAATGATTAATCTTTCAATAAAGACAACACTCGTACGTATGTGGGCCATCCATGGGCAGCTACATATATTTTCCATTTGGGACAAATACAACTCCCAAGGGAGGGAAGGGATGTGAAAATACAACAACTCACAGAGCGAGCAAACCGAGCGATACAACACACGAGCTTACAAAATGAAATGCAATTTCTAACTATGTACAATACAAGCTCATTATGAACTTGTATTAACTATTAATACCACTTAATGATGCAATAGAGACAACAATCGTACTTATGTGGGCCGTCGATGGGCAACTACATATATTTTCCATTTGGGACAAATACAACTTCCCAAATAAATGCCCAAATGGTAAAGTTGGTGGTAAGAGAAACTAAGGGAAAGAAAAACAAGCTGTCCACTAGGAATCTTGAGTATTCTGGTAGTAGGGATTAGCATATTGATAAGTTATCGACGCAGTCTTTGGTATTCACTGAGGGAACTGGAGTAGGACATTTAGCGGGGAACAAACATAGGTTTTGTAACAGTCTGATTTGCAGCGACCTAACATTTAAATTTCGTAGTCAGCAAGGTCAGCCAAAGAAGCAGATGTGGCGCCACCGATCCGAAAGCTGTGTCCGCTATAAGCGGTAAGATCTACACCAATGAGTCCCAGCTAGTGGAACACGAATGTTACTAGCCTGGTCAGGGCCTAATTATTGTCTAACATGAGGAGCGGCCACTTCTCGGACGCATTAGGGCAGCTCTGTTGAAGAGTAAGGTTAGATTTCATTGCGCAGGCTGGGCAGACT